AGCAGGAATTCAGAGTATATCCATATGTTATAGGTAATAGGCTGCTACACAGTACTCAAAACTCAAGTTTTGAATCTAGCCTTGGTGGCTGAGCTTTGTGGTTTAAGGGTTTTACATAGTTTGTGTTCAGTCAGTCTTTACTCTGTCTTATCTAGAAAAGATGACACTGAGATCTGTTGATTTCTTTTTATTTAAAGACAAATAACCTGTTTTTTGAGCCGTGTTTCTGGGAGCAGTAAAATAATAGAATGAACAATAGTTCTGTAAAATAGATAGCTTCAATTAACCTCTCAGTTGTTTTTGGTACAAGACTTTGGTTTTTATTTTATTCTTTAAAAGGCATTTATTCTTTCATGGTGAGGTTAAGCATGATTCACATATTACACTTAGGCCTGAACCTAGCCTCATGTGATGAAGGCTTTCTATACCATTAATCCTAAAACTTTTCTTGATTGTCCTTATGGATGTGGTTGTCAGATATAGTTGTCTTACTTTCCTCTGTCCTTACTGCAAAGGGAATATCAGAAAAGTTGCTTACATTGCACAGTATATGGTATGTGCATTTGTTACAAACCTTGATACTTTTACATGTCTGTATAATTAGACTATCTACTACTATGATTTTAAATACTAGTTACTCTTGTGATTTTTCTGTGATAGTTCTGTGCTCTAGGATAGAGCATGCTGAACTTCTAAAATGCAGTCATTCCTGATGTCACCTGAAAGCAAGTAACACTGTTGTCTGTAGAACTACAGAGAAAAGAGAAACCCTATAATCTTGTAAAAGAAAGGATGATTGCTTTATATTGGAGTAAATCACTGCTTAGCAGTGCCTGGCCCTTCTGCATGTGTGTGGGTTTTTGTTTTGTTCTTGTTTTTTTGTTTTTTTTTTTTTTAACTTTTTAACTAAAACAGAAGATCCATTGTGTAAGTATCTGACTGGCTGGTAATAGATATAATTGCTTATCGATCTTCAGCTAGAGTATAAAGATACCTTTCTTTGTCCTTTCTCAGAAGTGCTTATTGCTTGTTCATTAATTTGATTATTAAAAAAAAACTAAGGAATTTATCTAATGTTCACTTTTGAACTGATGATGATATGTGCTCAGTTTTCCAGAGCAGCTCACTTCTTCCTTCATTTGACCAAAGAGCATCATAGTCATAAGGCCATGACATGCTGTTTCTTGCTCTTGTAACAGGTGTATGTTTAGAGCCAGAGGAAAAATCTTAAACTGCTTATGTGAGGGAATTCTGGGCATCTCATTGACATTTTCTCCCTTCCTTCCTCCTTTCTGTATATTCAGATTCTGTTTCCTTGCCTTTCTTGTTCACTGTGATCAATATGAGACTTATTTTGAGCAAGCCTTGGCTGAAGAGTGTGTAGGTGTGTGCCCATTACAAAAAGGGGAGGGAACACAGTGAGATGCTAGCTGAATTTAGGGTGAGTGAATAAGTGATTGTAAACTTGTATTTTTGACTATCCCAAACTTCAAGTCTAAATCTGATTATAACAATTCACTGTGTTATAAAAAGGGTGTTGCTGTGACACTTGAGTTGAAGTCCAGAGTCCTTCGATCTGAAGGAACTAGGTAAGGATTACTTTTTAATGCTTGGTGTCTGTAGAATGCTGACCTATTAGACTGTGCTGCCTGTAATAACACTTTAGGAGATGTTCTCCTAAAAAGACAAAATGAATCTTTAGTTAACCTCGGAATGACTGGCATTGTAAGAATGCTTCTCATCTTTCTTCTGTATCTTTCTCCACGTGAGTGGAGAATATAGAGTACCAGAACAAATTTCCAAACTGAAGTTAGACAGGGACTTCTCAAGGAAACTAAACAATTGTTTTTGGAGGAAAGTTGAATTTTAATTAGGTAAATATCCTGCATGGAATCTAGCCCAGATCCTTGGAAGGACATGAGGAAGGCTGCTCTTCTACAGTTAACCCTGTTTTAAAAAAAAAAAGTGTGTGTGTGTGTGTATGTGTGTATATATATACACACACACACATACATACACACACACATATCTTTTTCCCAGCACAACACCTCTTTTAGACTTCTACGTTATTCTTTTTCCTCCTTTTCTCTCCCACCTTTCGAGACAGATAAGTCTGCCAAGGAACATTTCTTGTTTTATTTGAAATCCCTACCACATCTTCTGCTACTTGAGGAATGCTTAGCTTCTCTCATTCTTGTCTCTGTTGCGATACGCAGCTTTATCTCTTTTGACAGCAACTTGTTTTGAAGATCTCATCAGTACTCATGCAAGCTGCTTTAGTGTTGCTGCTGCACTGAACCTTACTTTTTGCCTATTCGGCTTCTTTTGGCTCCGAACAAAATCGTGTTGACTTAGATTACAGACAGTTTGGAGAGGAATTGGGACTAGAAGGAAAGGTTTACTTCAACTAGAAGGTATAAAAGGTATCATATTATCTTGAATATTTTGGAGGAAAAGCTGAGTGTGTGTGCCTCTTGTTTGTTTCTAGTTCTTGAAATGTAATTGTCCAAAAAGCCCCTAGGTTTTCTTTCATTTGCTGACAAGGTTACTAAGGAGGTCTTATGTTGAAGTACAGACGTGACATTGCTCTGGACTTTGTGTGTTTTTTAACACTGAATGTGAAGAAACTTTGGAAAAAAGTTAATATTGATGAGTGTGTAAGACTGCCTTATGTCATGTCTTGCTCTCATTTGACTACCCTTTAGATATCAGGGTTCAGTATGAAATAGCTCTGTTCCTTTCTTATCTTCACCTCCATGTGTGCTGCCAGGGAGCTTCATAACCTGATATTTCTTATCGCTTGGTACAAAATGGACTTGACTTCTCCAGAAGGCAGACCTGTTTGCCTGGTAGGTGAACCACTAGGGCTGCTGATCCGCTTTTTGTGTCTAAGGATAGAAGGAAAGATATATTTTGTTCTCTCGGCCTGTTGGACATGCAAACACTTCTTGTTGTCGGATAAGGCTTTCTATAAATATAGCGGACAATTGTAAACCTTTTATACTGCTGAATAGCAGTACAATTACCACAGCTTTCTTGAAAACGGTATTGTGGCAGAGCAAGTCATTGAATGATGAATGCTAGGATTGCATGTTCTTATTGTTGTATTAGGCTTTTCAGCCCTGCTACTCCACAAGTTTTCCATGTACCGTGTTCTCTTAAAATTTGATTAAATGATAATACTATTGGAATACCTGCCTGGAAGTAAATATCCAAAAGGAATTTTCAAGGAAGAGTCTTGTGCTTGTCAGCAACAAGCATATATGTTTCTTTAACTCTTTATACCAACTTCCTACTCTGCATATATAAAATCTAGAATTAACTCTGTGGTGCATAATCTTGGAAACAATTGCGTCAGTAATGGTCTGTTTTTTTTTTTTTTTCCCCTTTAAAAAAAAAAAACACCCATGAGGGTGGGGGATGATTCACACTTGGCAATTTCAGACTCCCCAGAGAAGAACTCGTTACCTGGGAATTCCTTGTCATATCCGAAGGAGGAGATTCAAACTGTGGAAATAAATCGCAGTCTATAATAATACGCAGTTTGGAGCTATAATTAATAAGCAGGCAGGCTTGATGTTAGCTGGGTAGTTCCTCAGACCTTTATACATCAATAAAAATGTGTTTTAAGATTCGTAAGTTCTATGTATTTACAGATGTTTAGAAGATTTGGATGTCTTTCAATAAAAGAAAGGGAGAGACACAAAAAAAGGAAAGGTAAAATATAAGTGATATATCCAAAGTCCTCTGGGAGAGGAGGAATCCATCAAATTCATGGAGGCATCCCTCGGTTACTATGTTTCAGGCCCCTTTTACATACAAAGATCTATATATCTGTGAACAGTCTTGCAAAGTCTGGTACCTACCAGAAGCATATCTTACTTGTATAGAGCTATTGCAGCTGGGGGTGGTGTCCTCTCTTGCATATTTTTGTTTTAAATGTGTTTTTAAATGTGAATATTCAACTAGCTGTTTTAATGATGAGTGGCGATCTATAACATCGGGGTTTACTGTATTTCATTGTCTGTGACTCTTATTTTATTCAGATGGAGCTGCCTGGCCTTGCTTTTGCTGTTTGGATGTTTATTTGCCTCTGTGGACCTCTGGACGGTTATCCAAATGGAAAAATAAGGGAAGTCTGCAGTAGCATGATGCCCCATCATGGTAGCTCTCCACAACTGTCACCTGAGCACACTATTACAGTAAATGAGACTGAATTCAAACCGGGCGACAAAATAGAAGGTACTGTGTCAGTTATAGTGGAAGGGATTAATTTAACTCTATGACAGAATAAGAAAAACAAAGTATTGTAGCATGTCTGTACTCAGGTAGCTATCTAAGCAGTTGAATCTTGTTCAGATGATTCCTATAGCAGCCGTTCAGCACTTATAACATGATGTTATCAGTGATCAGTTTGAAATCTTTCATTCTTCCTCTAGAGAATATTTCAGCTTCCTTTTTATTTTCCTCCTTGCTTCAGTTAATCTGTCTGGACCAGATTTTGAAGGATTTTTCATACAAGCCCGAAATGCAGAACACTTGGATAGCCCTGCGGTTGGTTCCTTTATATTAACTGACCAGAGACTTTCTCAGCTTCTGACGTGTGGCCACAGAAAGGTACAGTATAGTGTCTTAAAATGGGACATCAGGCACTGAGGAGTTTGTAGCAGACTGCATCTGTAACGAGGCAGAACTAGTCTGTGTAATCTTCACTGAGGTCAATAAGTGTCTCAAGAAATTGTTCTGAGTTGCGGTATGGAGGCATGGCTCACTGCAGTATCATTGGGCTGCAGCATCATTGTTACTTATACCTAATATTAGAAAGAGGAGGACATGCTCCCTTTGCTCTAAGAAGGAAAGTTATCAACAATTTTCTGTCGTTATTAAGGACGCAATATGAAGTAAATGTCGTAACTTGTGGCAAAGGAAGTTTAGGTTAGTTTTTGTGGAAAACAAACACTAGGATAGGCTATTATCCATAGTCTTGCTCTGTCCATTCCTGTTAACAGAGCCTTTTTATAACAGGTTAGATCGCCATCTCTAACATCTGCTTTTGTTAAATTGATTCTGCCTCGTGTGCAAGAGATGTGAACTCCGCCTAAGTTTTCAGCAACTCCTTTGAGCTTTATGAGCATGTCTGTTGACGTCAGAGCTGGTCTAAACAAAGTTCTCAATCTGTCTGGATGTTTTTATTTTATTTTAATTTTTTTTCTCCCTCTGCTTCTTCCACTACCTGTGTGCCCCCTCCCTTGGTAACTATGTCACACAGTTAACTTTCTGACCCCAAGATCAATTCTGGTTTGACTCCTATTCTCTAGCGCACTGGTTTAGTTCTCTCTGAACAGTCATTCCACTGCTGCTTCATGCCCTTATCAAGAAAAGGAGCATTACCAAGCTGTTTCTGCATAAATACAGCAGGGACACCAACTGGTCTGGATTCTGTTTTCCATCCAAAATGTGCTTCTGTCTCTTCAGTGGAATCAACTGGATTAAAAGACCTCTAGTTGTTCCTTTTATCCTTCAGGTTTGGTAGTTTGTATAAATTTGGGGTAGGCTTCGTCTGAGTTGCTTGTGACTGACTAGGGGAAAATTAGTCAGGTTTCTCATGCCGGTTGGACTGTGTCTGTGTGGTATAACCGTGCAATATTTGTTCAGGACTTACCCGCAGCCTGTGCGATGACTGTATTAGCTGAAGTCTCATTAGTGCATTTCCACTGTATAACTCTTGATATGTGTATGCTTTCAGAACTCAGCTGTCAGTCACACAAGTAAAACAAAAAAGAAATACGTAGAAGTTTATTGGATTGCTCCTGGAGATGCACCAAGACATGTACAGTTTCTGTAAGTAAATCCAGTGTTAGTTCTAGTTTATTAAAATACAAATAAGGCAAACCTGTACTGTTATGTCTGATGCAAATATGGGCCAGCAACTGAGAAGCATCTTTAGACCAAAGGCCTGAAGGGTGGACACCTTTTGCTCCCTTCAAATTCTGCATTAGTGTAGACAGTTCTTAGGGAAAGCTTGGAGATGATCACTTTGATTTTTGGGGGGAGAGTAAAAGAGAATTACAACACAAGTTGCTTTTGAATTTCTAGCTGACTGTTTACTTCTTGTGCATATGAGCAAACGTACGGTGTTCTTCCCCCCCCCTCCCCCTTCAGTCTAACAAAATGGTATGTATACCATCCCATTAGACTGTTAGTTTTTTTGGAAACAATGAGTAAAAGCTATGTAACTCTGAAGTGTAAAGCAAACATCTCCCCTTCTGAAGTTGCAATTTGTGCCACAGGGCCAAGTCTGTTTTTTTTTGTATCCAGGAGTCTGTGTAGTGGAATGTTTTAAAATTATTTTTCCACAGAGGCTTCAGATATTTTTCCTACTTTAAGTGGTAAAATGTTAGGGGCCCTGCATTTGTGTGTGTGTGTGTGGTGTGTGTGTGTGTGTGTGTGTGTTTTTTTTTTTCCTTCCAAACACTTCTATTGTACAAACTATAGAGCTTTTTCCTTTTCTTCCCTCCCTCCCAACCCCTTTATTCTTTTAAGAGCTACAGTTGTGACGAAATACAAGACTTTCTGGGTGAGGATTCCTGGTGCCATTGTTTCACAGCCTAATGCACTGTCCCCAACAATGCCCTTGCATAGAACATCAGAGACTGTATCAACTTCACATCCAGTTTCCTACTTAACAAAGCCAGTAAGTGATTATAAACCCAAATAATGTCACCTTTAATGCTTACCATCAATGGGATTTAATTAAAGCCCATTGATACAATCCAGTATTTTGTCTTTGTCTCTGGCTTGGCAGATGGGGAAAGATGATGGATGAGTAATTTATGTATCGGATATTAAGAGTATAGGCAGCTCCTCTGTTGTATTACTTTAGTTGTACAAACTTGTGTGGGTTAAGCATTGTCACATTTCACTCAAGTGAAGTCCCAAATGATCTATCAGCTTTTGAATTGTTTAGCTAGAGGTTGCCCATACCTCGGAAGAAACATGGGAAGTGCTGTAGTCATGTCTCCAAAGTTTCTATTAATAACTGCAGCCTCTGAAATTTCCTTGTACTAGTTCATCTACATTACTGACTTCCGTTACAGAATCTTAAGTTTTAATGGATTGAGCAAGCGTTATTATTTGATGTCACAGTGTGACTTTTAAACCACGTAACGTCCATTGCCTATCAGTAGAATTGTTACTTTAAAAAAAAAAAAAAAAAACTTCTCTTCCCTTTACCTCCTCCCCTATCCTACAGTTGATTTTTACCTCTCTAAAAAATTAAACTGAAGGAACTTTCTTTGAAGTTTTACTTCCTTTTCAAAATTACAATTCTATTATGGTGTCTCTAAAGTGCAAATTCAGCTTAAATAAAGTTTGCTGTAGTTTCACTTACTACTCCTGGGGTAATTGTAGAGATGGCTGAAGAGGTTGGTATGTGGGGGTAGATGGGATTTCTTTGCTATTCCTTGTATGCTTCCTTCTAGGACAGGGTGGAAAGGAATAAGTTTCCCTCTTCCTCCTCCCTTATCTGATGATTTCTTGTTTATTTGCTTGCTTAATTGTCTAGTTTAGTGCATCAGGTTGTGGCAGTACGAAGTTCTGCGTTAGGAACCCTTCAAGCTGTGATCCTGAAAGTGCTTCCTGTTTTTTCCTATCCTTTCAACGAGAGAAGAGGTCTGTACGCATTGAAATGAGTGGTCCCAGTGAAGGATATTTAGCGTTTGCGTTGTCCCATGACCAGTGGATGGTAAGTGTTCCGTTCTCCTTCTGTAGTCGCTTTTGTGATTCCAGTAGAGTTCAATTTGAATGGTATTCTATCAAAGCATCCATAGGGAAAGCCAAAATGTTGCTAGATGTCGTACAGAGTAACCTTCCCTGTACTGCTGAAGAAAGTACATGTGGCCTTTTAAAGGTGGATATACAGTTTGAACTTTTTGTGGTAGAATTCCCCTGTGGATATCTGTCTTGGCAGAATCCAGCCTTCGTAATTGGACAGTAGCAGACTTGCTTGCTGTTAGATGAGCCTTTCTTTGTTGCTTAACCAGAAAAACCATGCCTGAACTCTGCTTCAGAAGCTGTATTGCATTGTTTTTTTGGAAACAGTTTTTATTTCTGCATTGTTTGTATAAGAATTACTCCATCTAATCTTAAAAATTTTAGGGATCCTTTTCTCTAATTGGTGTTAAAGTGAAGGGGCAATACTGTTGACAAATGTATAGCCTAAAGTAACAGCTGCACAGAGAAAATGCTGTTTATGTTTGTGTCCCTGATGTGAGAACAGTTGGCTCTTAACACTTTTTTTTATGCCTTGACAGCTATGAGACAAGCGACTTTTTAACTAAAGTGTTGCTGGTTTATTTATTTTTATTAATAACTTCAACCTCTGTCTCTGTCTTATTTGATTAATTTAGTAGAATCTATAAATGATTAAAGAAATTTCTGATACTGTGGAAGAGACTCTGGGGGGGAGGGAAAATCATAGTTTGTCTGTGTCATCTGTTTGACTTAATATGTTCTCCATGTAATGCTGAAGTGTTTGAAAGAGGGCAAGTAATAGCGTAATATGAGAATTTTCTCAGGTTTTTGGTTTGACCATTGACTAGAACTCCCTATTGCTTGCTGCATCTATTGACTCAAAGTGCTTTTGAAAATGACCACTAGGGATTTGTATTGGGCTTTAGGGGGATTTTTATTGTGTGGTGTGTTTTTTAACTTTCCAGGGTGGTGATGATGCATATCTGTGTGTTAATGAGGATCACCACGTTAGCGTAAACACTGCCTACCTGAAGGGACGAAAATCTCCTATTTTGGATTCAGAGGTACATCTGAGAGCAACTGAAGCTTTTCACGAGAGTAGGTTTGAAGTGATCAATGGTTTGTTGCTGCTTTGTGCTGCTATTTTACGCCGCAGCTCTAAATCATAAGATGGGTTCATCATTCCTTATGCTAAGAATGGTTGAGCTCTTTCTTCCTAAAAAATATTACCTTTGGAAGTCTATAAACCTCATTTTAAAAACCATCCTGTTGTGGGAGGCTCATGCCATTGAGGAACTTTGTGTATGTTATTGCTGGTGCAGTAGTCCCCTTTTACTAGGGGTGAGCTTGGAATTTATATGCCTTGGCATTAAAGGTTGGAAGAGGAGGGGGGATAGTTGTTATGAGCAGGAAAATATGTGATAATAGCTCCAACCTTATGTTGCTGTGTTGATGTATTGACATGCTTTTAAAGTTGGTATGCAAAAGTCTTTTGCTTCAAATTCCAGTGATGCTTTGTCTTCTGCAGGATTTATATCTTTATTTTTAAACCAGTCATTCTGCCGATCCTGTTTTATGTCCTAGTGCAACGGAAGGGGCAGGGGAAAAAAAAAATGTTGAAACTATAAGTTGGAAATAACCTGCTTAGTCAAGGTGCTCTAATATAGCGAAAGAGTGAGCCAAGTTCTCAATAACACATCATCTTGTTCAGAACTACCGTTCTTACCCTAGTACTTGCTTCCTTATGGTTACGCTGGTTTCTTACCTTTCAGCTGCTTTCATAGAGCTGAACAGGTCTGTGGAGAATGACATTCATAAGACACTTTATCTACTATAAATACTTATCTTAATCTTGAAAGCCAAATAAGGTATGTGAAGATCTGTCCCTGCTACTGTAGTGTGATCATCTAGAAACACATGGGAGCAAAAAATTTTGGCTATATAGGCATAAGAAAAGTTTTATCTCATGATATAGACTATAATGACAGGCTGTTTGTGCTTGCTAGGTGGAAACAAGCCCTAACATTGGCCTTAAAGGTGTTAAAGAATTCTGTCTGCTTGTTTAAAAAGACTGAGTGTTAAATGTCTGCTGTTTCACAGAATGCCCTTGAAGATGTATCATGGCGGCTTGTGGATGGTGTTCTTCAATGTTCTTTCAGAAGGAATATTCATCTTACTGCTTACAAAGGAAGGTTTAATCTGGATGCCAATTACTACATCTTTCTGGCGGATGGGGAAGTTAGTGAAGGTAAACTTGATTTGCCTGTGCTTGCTTTTCTTTGAACAGTTCTAAACAAGAGCTGCCTACCCTAAGACAAGGTGTGGCTTACCTGATAATTAGTATCTGAACTAAGGACTCTTATTTTCAAGTTTGAGTGAAGCACTTAGTCCAGTCATCTCTACTGGCTGCCTGGATCGTGAGTTTGCTTTTTGAGGTTGCAGTAGGCTTACTCATGTGTTGCGTGCCCACTTGATGCTAGGAACTGTTAACTACTTGAGAAGACTGACCACAACCTTTTAAAATGGAGAGAATTGATCTTCATGCTCCATGTGCGTAGTGGAGAAAGCTATTTCTAACAGGCTTGAGTTTCTTCTTCTATACATTCTGTATACAAAACAGCTTAGGTGAAATCTTAGGTTCAGATTTTGATTCACAAGCTGAATTTCTGCTATGTTACATACCAGAAGTTTTCTTTGCATTTCCATGCTCAGTGGTCACAACAGGACTTGTATTCATAAGTGGGAGTAGGCTTGTCTTAAAAGTGCAGTGACTTTCATCAGCCTTAAATAAACCACTTTATATCACTGCTTAGGAGGACTAATATACAAACATCATCGTCAGCCTCTGATCACCAGTAGAATGTACAATGTCACAGGCCTTCCACAGGATATTGGAGGTTCACGCTCACCCCAACTTATCAAGGCTCATGGTAAGCTGCAACTTTTACTTCCAGTTCTACATCTGCTGAGACTGGACGGTTATGTTTTTCTTACTGTTGCAGGGTAGGTATTTCCCCTGATCTTTCTGGCACGTTCATTAAATATATTGTTAGTTAGCAAGGTCTGAGACTATAAGAACAGAGTGAAGTTGTTAATTGTCAGTTTTGCATTTCAAGAACAGAGTTGTAAGATTCTCTTCACCCAGGAAATTGGGCTCATGTGTGCCTTTCCTCCTAAGCTGATAATTAGGGCTTGTTTCTGTTTGCCACTCTCTCTGGTTTTGTTTATTTTAGTTGTGTTATTGTAGCTTAATCCCATTTGAAGTGGGAAACACCTCAATTAATAGTCTGGAGCTACTGAAGGTAATGGGAACTTTTTTTCTTATGATACTGGACTTTGAGCCAGGCCCATGAGGGAATTATCACTCATTGTCTATTAGCGAAAGTCTGTCACAAATGTCATCTTTCATCCTCTGACTTGTAAGTTGGTAATAAAACTACAACTCTCACCTCATCCACTAGCTGTACTGCGGTGCATTAAATACACAGTCGACAGGGCTACTCTATCACACTATGTGGATGTTTTCTAATTCTCTTTTGTATGGATGTTTCTGCCCTCTAGACAGGTGAATGCTATAAAGTTGTAGTCTCAAACAGGTGATAAAAACTTATCACTGGTAAATTCTGACCATAGGCATACAGCTTCAAAGAGTGTATAATGGTTTAAGTCTGTATTCAGGTAGAGCTAAATTACTTTTGTTTACCTTGATCATGTTCTCCCCCCACTCCTCCATTTTCAGGTGCTCTAATGTTTGTTGCCTGGATTACTACTGTTAGCATTGGTGTTATTGTTGCACGATTCTTCAAACCTGTCTGGTCCCATTCATTCCTGTTTGGAAAGGAGATGTGGTTTCAGGTGGGCGAAATCTCTAGCTGTATGTTCCAGCTCTCTTGTAAACAGAATTAAAACCTACTAGATAGAAGAAATCAACTTTAGTGTATTGTTACCTTTCTTTAGTCTTTTAAGACTAAATAAGTGCAAATCAGATGTTGAGTTTACTAGGAAAGGCAAAGTCTAAAGAGGCAGTTAGGAATGTTTTTCTTTACAAATCTATTACTTGTATTTTAATACTCTATTGAGAAAGCTGCAGTGTTTCTAAAAACAAACATCACTTTTCTAGGTGCATCGCATGCTTATGTTGACCACAGTCGTACTTACAAGCGTTTCTTTTGTTTTGCCTTTCGTATACCGAGGAGGATGGAGCAAAGTAAGTGTATGTGTGTTTTTTATTTTTTCTTAACTTTCATTTGGTCCAGACTTTGAATTTACGTTCACTGAAGTATGAGTAGTAGATCCATTGTTGGCTTTAGCATATATCATGGCTAATGACAAGGAAATTGCTGTGAAGCTGTTGTTGTTAAAGCAGACTGATTTCAAAACCTAGTAACACAAAAGAGGAATGTTACCTTCTTTAGCTCTACTTGAAAAGCTTCAGTCATTCATGCTTTCCTTCTTTCCTTTGTTCTCCCAAATAAAGTCTTTGCTCACAGGTGGTTTTTTTTTTTGTTTGTTTTTTATGAACTGAATCATTCGTCTTTCCAGTTCCTCAGAGAGATTGGACTGGGGGGCGGGCGGTGAGGATGGGAAAGGTGACTTACTAACCTGGTAAATCTCTTACCTTCAGTTCTCCTAATAATAAGTGTTATGAACTTGGATTTGAGCAGCTGCATCCAGTGATTCAGCTTAGGCTGGACTCCAGATAGAGACTGTTTACCTGTTGCTGTCCCTTGTGTTATATCGGTGCAAGGTGATATCAGAAATTGGCAAGCCATGAGAGGAATCTGCACTGAAGGCAGGAGAAGAATGTGGTCACAGGCATGAGGTGATATCTAGGAGCTAGGGAAATTCAGTAAAACGTTTAGGGTGAGATTAGAACAGGTAGGGTGAGAGCAGAGACCAGTACTGGCAGGAGTTAAGAAACAGGCCTTTCCTGAAGAAACAGAATTGAGGATGAAGAGCTCGGAGCAACAGCTGCTACAGTCATATTGCTATCTGCTGTTCAGCTGGTAGAATTTCTCCATATAGCAAAAAGGTGGAACAAATCCTGGGTAGGCTTATCAGCATCTGGTGTTGCTGAGGAGAACTAGATATATCCAGCTGCAAGGCAGGTTATTGTGTCCTGTAGCCACTGCCAGTATAAATACAATGCTATATACACCACTATAAAGTACTAAGACAAGTTTAAATAAACTGAGGTATTTTTCTGTATCCTTATATAGATATGATACTAAAGAAAAACATCCTCTGTTTAGCAAGCAGGTTTTCATCCATTTCTTGGCTGTACTGTGATGGCCCTGGCAATTTTTCAACCTCTCATGGCAGGTTTCAGACCATCTCCACATGCACCAAGGTACTCAAAACTCACTGATTAATTATTACTTAAATTATAACTTATTAAATTATAGCCGCAACATTTAAATATGCCTGTTCTTATGAAACACTTTTTCATTGTTATCTATTTTAAATGTACCTTTTCCTCATCCTGTGAAATCTTTTCTTCCAAATTAAGTAATCAGTGAAATGCTTTCCTTTGTTTTATAGGAGGCAATTGTTTAACTGGTTTCACTGGAGTACTGGTACAACAGCTAGAATACTAGCTGGTGAGTAGTAGTAGTTGTAACTCCCTTTTAAGTGATTGTTGTTCATAATCTGGGCTATTGCTCTCCTAAAGTGCCTAGACCTGTTGGAACTCCACAACCAAATGTCTGTGATGCTAGCTCGTGCGATCTCAGCGGGATCTCCTGTGGCATGAGGCAGATTACTTCAGTCTTCAAATCAATTTAAAAAAAATCACCAAAACAATTTAATTGCTTGTTTAATTGTGGATTACATATTTGATGTGTTTGGCTAATGTTGAGCCCTGTATATGCTTATTTCAAGAGAATGTTCAAAATTATGTCTTATTCTCTCTCACCTCATGGTTTCCACCTCTTAACATGAGCTATGGCTATTCTTTCTTTTCTTGCTGGCCACCTTCTCTGTGGGTTTAAGTGGCAATCAGGTTCAGCTTTAGGGGAACGAGTAGCTCAGTAACACCATGGAGATTGCAGATGAATTTGAGGGATCTTTAAGAGGACCACTTCTATTAGTTTGTTTTTTCTCTTGAATCTCTTTTTCCTCTTGGAGAATTTGAGGATATTGTTCTTACAGTAACATACGTCAATAATTCAAGGTTATTTAATGGGAGGGGAAATTCACTCAGAACCGTAAGTTGGTGATCTTTCTGTTTTTGGAGACAAGCTTCCACAAGCAGCTTAAGCATATAAGTTCAGGTGGCTGTGGTGGTCTTGACATAGTCACAAATGCTAGTGTTGGTGTGACTGCATAAGGGACTGATCAGGCTGAAAAGTCTCCTGGCCTCCTCTTCCCTTCCTGCTTCCCATCCATTCTTTTCCCTTCTTCCCCTTCACCCCACCCCCCCTCCCTCCCTTGCTCTCTCTTCGCACCTTCACCATGCTCCCCATGCACCTCTAGGCAGTTTGTAGGAAATGTACTGCCAAAGGTGTTGAGAGAGTATTGTCAATTGCCCTGGAGCAGCATCCTCAGTGTCTTTATCTTGTTTTTATTGGCTAGTGGTAACTATGTTCTTGGGAATGGATCTACCAGCACTTGACCTACCAGACCCGTGGGACACCTATACAATGATTGGTTTTGTAGCTTGGCATGTTGGAATTGACGTTCTTCTGGAAATACACAGCTACTGCCTCATACGTAAAGGTACAAACCCGGCAAAGCTCCTGTTGTTACCTTGTTTGCTGAGGACTGCAAAATGCAAAAATATAACTTGAGTGGAATGAATCTCAAAAGGAGTTTGCTGGCCTCTAGCTTGCAAGCTGAGGGGAATATCTCTCAAGTAATGCTGTGATGCTTCTGTACGAAGTGGCATGGGACTAAATCAGCTCTCAAGACTGAAGTGTTACAGGAATACTTTTTTAATGCTATCTTAAATGGTGGCTTTTTTTTTTCCTTAAAATCACATTTCATGGGGACAGACTGAATGTGTTTGTGTGCATGTTTTTCAGAGAATCTATCACTTATTGGTTGGATGGGTAGAGTCCAGATTGATTCATGCAGATTTAATCTGCATGTTATTGTCACAAATTGCTGGTATGAAGGGCTGTTCTTGCATGAGTGAAGTGATCAGAAACCTAAGCACAAACACTTGAAACTTTGATTGAACAGGGAAGCTAAGGTGAAATCCTGACTCCAGTATATCTAGTAAAGAGACTGATAGTAAAGGATAAGAATTTCATGGGGAATTCTTAGCCTCACTGAAAGGAGATTACTCTGCACATGTAAATGACCTGTATCTGGGGAGAAGAAACACCTACAGAATTGAGAAAAGGTGATTAGGTAAAAGACTGTATAAGGTGGCATATGGAGAAGGAATGATTAGAAACGATGTGAATTTAAATTGAACTGCACTAATGATCTCCTAGAAATAGAGGAATTGGCCTAAAATGTTTGAACAATGACTATTCTTCTCTTGGCTAACTTAAAATACTTCTTTATGAAATTTACTTATTTTAAAATGAAAAGGGAAAGGTTTTAGATCAAACAAATGTCTTTTTCAACTCGAAAGTCTGTTTTGGTTATTTGCTCTAGGAAAAGGTGAGACAAACTGTTTTGTCACTGCAGTGGCCAAAAGTAGTTGTAGTTGTTGTTTTTTAAGTCAACTCAAAACCATTAATCACTTGTGCTATGAACATAATGCAGGTCGTGACAGACAAAATGAGATTCTTCCAAGTGCTGTTCAAAAACAGGTTGAAGATGTATTCTTTGTTGATTTGATGCTGTATGGGACTGAATTATTTAATTATAGAATCAAGAGTTCTGCAACATAAAAGCAACTTCTTAAGAGCAGTGCTAACTGAACTTTTTTCCTTCCCACTAACAGTTGAAGTGATAGAGGATGACAGAATACAGATATTGCAGTCACTCACGTCTGCAGAAGCAGAGGTAAGTCACCGTTTTGTAAATACTGCTATGGGATGATTATTTGTTTAAAATGATAAAATAGACTGACACTTCTATGGCTTTTTTTCCCCCTTCTTTTGCAGGGTCATCTATTTAAACAGGTTGTGTTAACCATCTACATCTGTGGAAATATAGTGTTTCTCATTGCCTTCCTGGCAGCAGTCAACCAAATCTGAAATAAGTCAATCCATGAAAGTCATTGAAAGTTTTGCAATGAAATATTGTGCAACTGAAAAAACAAGGAATCCTCTTTATTGCAACTTTTCCCTCCACATCTCCCTGAAGATGCAATTGAAGAATAATAGTGTATATGCATCAAGTTCAGTGTTAGGGAGGACTACGTTCAAATCTATAGAAGGATTCTGCGGTCCTGCCAAAGCTGTCTTCTGATGTGATTTTTAGTGGGAGTCTTTGCCTGAGTAAGGAATAATGTTTATATTTTAAGTGCAGTAATTTAACTGATTGTAGCTTATAGGTTAAGAAGACTGAGATGAAGTGCTGAAAACATTGTTTTGGTAGTCACAGTTCCCTAAACCTTTTGTGAATATTACTGAGAAAACTGAAAAGACTGATCCCAGATCTATCGTATCTGTTCACTTTACTTGTGTTCTACTGGTATGTGATGCAACAACTTGCTGCTTGTGATAGTTTTGTGTGTTACAAAAAAATCAGAGTGAAAAACAGTCACAAATGCGGGTTGATGCATTGGATCAACATTGTCACACATCTTTGCAATTCAATACAAAAACTATTCTCTCTACTCTAAGAGCAGTACAAATACAAGCATATGGGTTTGGGAACTTCAGTCCATTAGTAAAGCCACTGTTTGCATCACTCATAAAACACTGCTCTGTTCCCCCAGTGCTTCTAAATCATAAAGAGAAAGTCTGTCTGCAATACAAGTGCAGTATAAACTAGTTGTGCTGGTCAGAAAAACTGGAACAGAAAAGCTATCACAAGATATGTAAGGATTTCTGTATTTTGCTGTCTCTGGCCACTTGTGGTTTCTGCATTACTTTTCTGAATGAGTGAGATGGACTTAAGCCATTTGACTGCTAAACAGAAGTGCACATGTTTGCTCAGTAATGTTGCAGTTGTATTTGACTGTGTTGTTGAGTGAAATGGAGATTAGGAGTTGGTTTGACTTCAGGAAGAGTATGTTCTGTCAATGTTAAGTGAGTCCTCTGAGCTGGCACATCTAGGAGACTTAATTATCTTTATAAGCATGTGGAAGGGCATTTTTAGTCACTAAAAGATTTATCTAAATAATAGGAACTAGGTACAGAAAATGGAAAGAGACTATGTTCTTTAATTTGCTTAATTATGAAAAGAAACTCTTTAAACAGAATCTCAGACATGTGCCCTTAATATGCCATGCAGTACAGTGCTTTGCAGGCAAAGCAATACACCTATTCTTGCAGCACTAAACAATTTGCTTCCACGTATCATTACTGTTCTTGATCATCACGAAAGTACCGATATAGCCGTAACACCTTGGAACGTATTTTCAGCCCAAGGCTCATAAGCTAACTGGGGAAAAGAAGTGGTGGGGGAATTGGAGCCTGGTTTGGCATAGACCTTTTCAGAAACATCTTTCTATTTCCTAATGGCCTGGTCTAAAATATTAATACATGTGGATCAATTAAATGGAGAAAACGACTACTTAAGCTGTCTATCTTCTGTCTCTTTCTTCATCTCCCCAAATCCACAATGCAGCTGGCTGCAGAAACAGTTCTCCAGCAAGCTACAAGCTAATGCTCATAGTCATGTACCTTCTCCCTGTTGGCTGCTCCAGTAACCAGGTTGGCTGCTCCAGTAACCAGGTTGGCTGCTCCAGTAACCAGGTTGGCTGCTCCAGTAACCAGGTTGGCTGTAAGAGCATGTACAGAGCAGTGACTAATCCTATTGTAAGCAGTAGCAGTAGGCTGTGAGTGGGTGTGAGTTGAGTTGTCCCCCTTCTCAGCTGGAAAAGTAATTTGTAGATAGAGAAGGGGAGACTATGAAGAGCTATGGCAAAACCTAGGCTGAAAGGCAAGAAATATATGGCTGATCGTGTGGTTTTTGGTTGCTGGGTGCTTTTTTCTATTGTGTGGTGTTTTTTAATCAGGGTTTTGGAGGACTATGTTTTTGTATGCTATGAGTTTACAGAAGAAAATTTCTCAATCCTAGACATGATTGGTGGCCTTTTAAATTTAAGTCAATACTAAATTCTTTCTGTAATTTGATAGCTGTGTGGTATTGTTCTCCTGTGACAATGAATACAAAGTTTTTAAAACATGAATGAAAATACCATAATTCAAGCTTTTTTGTCTCTTAGTTTTTATCTAAGTAAAAGATATCACGTACAAACTGGAAAAAGAACCACCTTGCATAGCAGTAAGTGGAGATTGTCTATTTGCTTTATGGATGTTTATTTTCTAAATTAAAGCTGTCTGGATGCTCACTAGAGAAACTCCTATTGAAAACGGATGTTAAAATAGTTGCGCTCTCTTGTACGGAGTTGCTCTTTATCAAGAGGGAAAGATTCTTGTTTCAAATTTAATGCCAGCTATAAAGATGAAAAACTGTTAGTTGCTCTTTAGATAACTTTTTTTTTCTTTCCCAGTACTAGCAGCATTGCAGTTTGTGAAGCTTTATGCCCTGCTCTGCCATATTGATTGAAAGTCTTGTTAAATTTGATATATGCATGGAGTTTTTTTCTCCTCCTGTGTGATTAGTAAGAGGAAGCAATGCGTGATTATCTTCTAGTGACTCTCCCAAAATTCCTTGCTTTTAAAAAAACAAAAACAAAAAACCAACCACCTATGGAAATGTTTGACATCAGCAGAAAAAAAAGATGCTAAGCAGTTTGGTTCTAGAGCTACTGATGGCTGTTGTATTCTTTCTCCTCTCATTGATTGATTGGTAACTTATGATCTTGTTTAGAAGAAAATACCTATTGCTTTACCTCATCAGAGTCCTACTGAATTCAATAGGACTCTTTTGCAGGGAGAGATAGAGAAGATTTCGGTGTTCTTTTACTGTTATGTTAAATTTATGATGACAAATCAACATTAGTATATCTCTTGTGTTCTTCTGGGCAGGCAAACACTACCAATAAAGTAGAAATTTGTTCATGATTAGTTTCACAACAAGAAGCTTACTATTTTGAGGTAGTTGTATTTGAGTTGCATGCAGCCTCAAAATACTGGTCATCTACTTTTGTCTTACACAGAAATTCTGTTTTTGGCACGTGCTTCACATGACGACTAAGTGATGAAAATAACTTGAATGCAATTGAATTCACTGTTACTTTGCTTTAATTGGTGAACTTTTTTGCTAGAGGACATGCAGACTGCATGTGACATGCAGACTTTCTGTGAAATAAGAAAACGTATGCCTCTTTCTCTTCCACACACTGAACATACACTATTTCCTGTGGCGTTTGTCAAAAAACACCAAGTTGGGAGACTTCTTTGTATGTATTGTAGTGGTGCCAATGTTTTTCCTTTTCCCAGATTCAAAGGCTAGAGATAGATTACTTGCCTTTTGTTTTCCGTTACAAATTATAACACTATGTGGCGCTCTTGTTCAAATAACTGCTTTTGGGGTTTTTTTTTTTTGGGGCTTTTAATTTTTCAGTTTGAGACATGTGAGGGATGTCCAAAACAGGAAGAAAATGTTCATAAACTAACTGTAAATGTTCTCAAACTTTATTAAATAACTAGATCTTTAAATTCAAGACAGTTCATATGGATAGATGTAATGAAATGGATACTTACCTATGTCTATGCTTAAACAAACTTTTGTTTGAATAATTATAGCCTGTTTTGTTTTGTCATGTATGTAAAATGTGCTCCGCACAAACGTGCGTGCTCTTCCACACAACTTTCTTGAGATGAATTGCAGTCATTGAGGGGAAGAACTGTAGTCCACATCTTCATGCAGATATTAATGTCAGTTATTATTGTAAGCCTGCACTGAAAGTTGAAGTAAGGGGGATTTCTACTGCTATGTGTGAGTAGAAGGTTGGTTAAGAAGGAAGATCCACTAGTGCTCCTCAGGTTCTTTGCCCGCATCAGTCTGATCCCAAGCCCTCTAAAAGGGGGGTGTGTGTGAAGGGGAGAAGTGGTACCTGCCTGAAGCAGTGACACAGCAGAACTGGCACCGGAAATGTGCTTCAGGTGGGTCTCAATACCATTTATTTAGCTCAAGGTGGGGGTAAATTCTACTTACTGTCCAGCTTCTGCTTTCAGTCTTCCTTGCACTGTGGAAAAAATGATATTGTAACAGCGTACTACAAAAGCTGAAAATCGGCATCACAGTGAACCTTATGATAATCACTCTGGCCAAATGATGCTGTGCAAAGGATCCTAGCTTTGGCCTTGTTTCAGAGAGGCTTTTGTTTTGCTGGACCCTAGATATGGTCAGCTTCAATTGTGAATTGAGACCTTGTGTGGCATTTGTATTGAAGTTTGAGACAAGATAAAAGAGATGATTTACCTTCTTGCAGTTCCTTTCTTGTTAATATAGGCTGTGGGAGAGCTGAGGGGCTGCAGGACTCGGCTGATGAATATCCCAGCTTCCCAGAAACATACAAATCTTGAGTGCTCCGGTTTGTTTCTCTATTTCCCCCAAATTAATGATTTGATATCCACGCCGCTACCTAGCTAGCGTTCTGTGTACAGGTAGTGTAATAGTGTCGGATGAGACTAAACTGCCCCTCAAAGTAAACTGAGTAGTTTTAGTATGAGTCGTCAGAATAGCTGCACATGGTTGAAAGCAAGATTTTTTTTGAGCCTAGTATTCTGTCTCCAAAGGTGGCTATAATGAGCGCTTAGGGTAAGAGATGTGACAAGATTAGTGGGTGGTTTTTTTTTTTTTTTTCCCTTCCCAGCAAAATCTCCTTGCTGCTTCCCAGAATCTGTAAGAGTGTGCTGAGCCTGCAACTGGGCCATGAAGCTCTGTAGCTGCTGGTGGATTTATCCACAAAGTGTGTAATGCATTCTGAAACAATCCACTCATGTTTTGGTCTTCCCTTTAGTTATTCACTGTGAGAAAGTATTTTCTAGTTTTGTTTTAAGCCTGTTTCTTGATACCCTCATTTAATGACCTCAATTTTGTTTCATCTTCCTACCGCTATCATAGCCTGTAGGCCTCTGTCATACCCATATCTTACTGTCTTTTTTCTGTAGGACTGCTGCTGTATTTAGCCATTTTGTACTTTTGATAACCTTCATTGCCCTTCTCTATTCGTCTCTTTAGAGATGGGGTGACCAAAGCTACTCAAGATGTAAATATACAACGCTCTGCCATAGTTACATTTTGGTTTGTTTTTCCCTTCCTTTCCTAACGAGTCCCCAGTCCTCCTTGCTTTTGTGGCTCATAAGCATGGAGCTGATATTTTCAGAAGACTATCTGAAATAGTGCCAAGATCCCTCCCTTCCTCCCTCCCCACAAGAGGTTGGGAGTATCTTGCTGAGAGTGCTCCTTGTGCTATGTACAGTTAAGGTTACTTTTCTTTTTTACATTACTCTTCATGTGTCAGTAGTGAATTTCACCTGTCAGTTTAGTACACAGTTACTCTGTCTCTTTGCTGTCTGCTTTGTTTTAAACTTTCAACTGCTTTGAATAATACTATGTTGCTCCTTTTTCCAGATCATTTAAGTTTGATTAGCAGTACAGGTCCACCTTTGAGAAGGAAATTCAAACTAACAAAAAAGATTAGGGTTGAAGGTAACTCACTGCTGTTCTCCAAACCATCTAATAACAGGATAAAAAAAAAATAACGAAAAGCCCCCCAAAAAACCTTTTAAAAAAGAAACTGAAACACAGGAGAGACATGGAGAAAGTGTAATATAGTTGCATTTATTTGTTCTTATGTATTATGCCACTCTCCAGGCAACAATCTGTGACTGAAATTCTAAAATTTGAGATTACCTGATTCACTGTCCCATTTCAGACTGGGAGCTACCAACCCGTTAAAGGCTATGAGTCAGCTGATTGTGAGCACCGTGCCTCAGGGTGAGGTAGTAGCTTCAAGTTCCTGCTTTGAAATGAGGAAGGCCAGCAAAAAAATAGTTACAGCTGGTTTTTGCTGGTGTATAACATCCAAGTCAGCTCTACTAGAATAATGTAAGCTGAGCTGTATCTACTTAGTGATTCACAATAGCCAAAGACCTAGCAAAATAACTTTATCACTCTGATTTGAATATAAGGATGTAGTGCTGTGAGGCATTTTTTCCCCTCATGAAATAGGGAGTGAAATAATCTGACTTGTGTGTTGTTTTCCAGGTGTAGCTTTACTTTATGGCTGCTTAAAGGGCCCCAGCTGCTCCCTCATATGTTGAGTTGACCTGTTCATTGGTGGGAGCCTTGGGACTGTGCTGGACAGCTGTGTCCAGCAGTGGTAGCAACTGATGGCAGATCTGCAGCTGCAGAGCAGGTTACAGACAGATCAGCATTTCTGATGGGAGACTTTCACTACTTCTAGATCCCCTGGCCAATCAAAATCTATGTGCTCAGTAGTATTTTCTAGTGATGGACAAGTGCCTGCCTGTTTGGCAACCAGTTTCTTGGGAAAGCAGGGCCTTCAGTAGTGAGTGAGCAGGTAAAGTCATGGTTGGGAGGTTAGGCTGTTTGTAGTACTGTGCACAGGATGTATAAGGCTCTGGGTGGGGAGCATGCCGTGATGTGGAGAGGAAGGAAGGTCTTAGAATGGCTGTATTGTCATACATAAAATAGAAGGGTGGCTGGATTGTGGTGCTCTAGAAGCATCTAAATACTTAAATGCAAACTTTGCTAATTTTGGTTTATATTTTTGTTACTTAAAAAGGAATGTTTTAAATTTTGGCCAAGGTGGTATGCTTGGAAACCGGTCTCTTATATTTACACTTCTTCCTGCTTCTATCTTACATGTCTAGTTTTTCATTAACTAATGTCTTTATTAGGAAAATGCCGGGACGGCATTTTCAATCAAAAGTCAGTTAGATTGGTACACTTCCCAGGACATTCTTTCACTTTGAAGTTCCATGGAGATGTGTGTTTATCTGCTTTGTGTGTATAGTAACAGTATATGCCTTATTGTGGGGACAGGTATGCACATATCTTCATATTTGCATGTACACTGCATTTATGGTCTTGGGAAACATCCCATTGCCTTCAGCAAAATCCAGGATTTGATCTGCATGTATGTGGCAGTTGGTCAAGTCTGAAAGTCTGTTAATGTTCATTGGTTTATGCAAAGGCAAAATAACCCAGATGCGTAAAATAAAGGAGCAAAAAAAGCATTGAAGTTCAAAAAAAGTATGTTGAAGAAACTCTTCTTAGCTTTATTCTGCTTTGAGTAATAAACTTTACTTCCATGTCATTACAGCTGTTAAATCACCTTTTTCCCCAGCTTTGCCATTCTCATCCTCAGAGCTGCAAAAAGAAAACAAAGAAGCCATTGAATTTTGTGACCAACTTTCTGATGCTGAGTCTCCTTATTTAGAGTAATGAAGAATACACATACCTCCAGTGGTTAATCCGACAGAATAAGCATTGTTTTAGTGTTACAGAAAGAAACCAGTAGAAGGCATTAGTTTGGTAACTTTACAGTAAAGCGTTATGTTAAGAATTTACTCCATTATCACTATTTGAAAATTAGCACAGCTCTTTTCCACACTTGATTGTGTTACCTTCACTATTGCATAGCATACAAATGGTATTGTCCTTGACTGGATGCTGACGGATTAAAAGGATGCGTGAATAATTAAACAAAAGTCTTGGTTTAAACCAAATTCTTAAGTGCAAGCTATAACTACGTGGAATCCTTTTCCTTTAGTGTTAATATTCACATAAATTTTTCCCCTTAGTGGTGTATGTTTGGGTGGGAGTCAGTCATACTCCTGATCTGCGCGTGAAAAGTAACTTGGTATGTGCGCACACGTTAGTATGGCTATGGTCTGTAGGTGTGTGGAATGCAGGTTAGTTTGAAAATGACAGTGCAGATGATTAAACACTAAGGTTATTTCTAGAACAGCAATATAATGCTATTGTTCAATATGTAAGGCCCTCCCTCCCATGATCTGAGAAAGCAACAGGATTAAGCACTGTTAGCACTCCAGCCCTCTACCTGTTAGATTGAAGAATCACTCTAAGTAGCACAAGTCTCTTCCCTTCACCCTGCATGTTTTTCTGCACTGAGAAACAGTGGGATCAAGGCAGCTGTTTACTTGATTTATGCAGGTCAACAAATGTTGACCTAGAGTTATGTTTTGAATGCTGAAGTTTGTTGCAAATCGTGGAAGCATCAGTGTGTAACCTTATATCGTAGGACCGCACTTATAAAGAGCCTGTGTACTGCTTGTAGACCAAGGAATTTTGATGGATTAGGATCCTGGCTATGGTTTGAGAGAGAAATTGGTCAGATGCTCGGTTTAAAAACACATCACTGGACTATTGGCTATGTTTTGCTCTCTATTAGAAAGAGTTTTATTGCATGTTACTTTCTTCAACACAAGTGTTGTGTTTTCCAAGGTTGCAGTACTTAAGTGGTAAGGGGAAAAAATTAGCTCATTTGGACCAGCTACCTGCCAAAAGCCTTGGGACTCCCGCTTTTCCCATAAGAGGCTGTTTCATACTGTCAGGAGATTTTCCTACCTATTCAGCTTCAGTTTTCCTTTCTTTGTTCATCCTACTATGTCTAGCCTTTATTCCATCCTAAGTACTTTTCCCTTAGGAGTATTGAATCTTCAAAACACTTGCAGACTAATTCATTTGACTGAAATTTAAAAAAGAAAATTAATAATGTGTAACACTGGGGTCCTAATTATAGCATTATGTCATCCTTTTCTCTATATGGTATTTCTGAAGGCATGCACACCTTGAGGTATTGATCCCCCACCAAGCTTATGGAGAAGGGAAAATCACTCCCATATGAAAAGATGTAAATCGTGCAATTCTGACTTCTGCATACAGATTGACACCTGGAACATTGCCTCTTGCTTGTCCTTGGCCTTCATTAACTTCTATAATAGTTTGCTCTGAAGATTCATTATTTTCCCAAAGCAAGATTGCCACATAAGGGACTTCCTGGTATGTCCTATACTTTCTTGCTTCCCATTCTCTTTCAGAGAGCCCTTGGTGCTTATTCTTCATATTCAAATACTGCAATTGCCTCCAAAAGCTTACATTTCCAAGAGGATTATTTTTTCTGTTGTATTGCTTGTTTTCTGTTGTATTGCTTTTTGCTTTAATAACGAATTATGAGGTACCAAAGATCATCTAACTCTTCTCTTTTTACAGGCATTATTAGAGTGAACCTGCTGTGCTGAGGCTGCAGTGATTGATTTGAAAACTTTTTTTTTTTCTCTAAGAAATAGCTTTTTGTCATGCATTGTTCTAAGTATAAGAGGCTTTCCTGATTTTGTTTCCTTTTTAGAAGAAGCGGTAGGATTACAAAACTGCTTGGAAAAACTGAGTCATTTCCTAGCTTTTTCCACAGATCAAAACGTCCTAAGGATTGGTAATAAATAGTTTAGGGTGGGGAGGAGAAAGGAGTATGGCTTAGTTCCAGATTCAGTTGGGCACTTCAGGAAGTTCGCTTGGAGGCAGTGCTGAACATTGGGGGTGTATTATTATTATTTTTTTTTTTTTTGCTTCATTGAGGCAAGTCAAATTGCTATTGATTTAATTGGGGCCAGGATTTTTCCTAACTGGTTGTTTTCTCCTTGGTAAAGTACTGTGTAAGTCAGTGGATAAGACCAAATACAAACTAACAGAACAAATTCCTAAATGTCTTTACTAGATTTACAGTTATCCCTCTTCTCTGAAAGCCAGCATTTGTTTTCCACTAACCTCACAAGAGAGAAGACCCAGACTGTTCAGAGATTCTGTTAGTGGGAGAGGAAAGAAAGAAGTTTCAGAAGCTTCTTTCAGCAGTCAAAAGTAAGCAAAGATTGGTATATGCTCAGCTAGTATCTCATGGTCTGCATATGGCCACCAGAACGGTTCTGTTGGCACAGTTACTCCTTGCAGGCCCTCCTCCCCAGGATCTGTTCAGGAGCATGCACAGGGCAGGCTGCAGGACGAGTGAATTATTTTGGTAGCAACCAGCTTTTGCAGGGAGGATCCCTTCTCCATTGTATGCATGTACCTATATACATAGGGAGTGAAGGGAGTATCCCCAAAACAATGGGCTGGAGCAGTTGTTGGAATGACTTATCTTGCTTGCAGCCAGCTACTTCAGCTCCTGGTTGCTGGCATAGAGCTGTTGGCAGCAGCCTTGGTCCTGGAGGCCCCAGGAAAGTGCACAGATAGTAGAACTGGTGCCTGAGGGAAGCAAAGGTGTTGAGAGGTGACAGAAAAACTTAGTGATCTGATTGACCAGAAAGGCTGAGCATCACAGCTGGAATATTTCAGGTGATGTTGTACATGAATGAAGGAGGCTGATAATGCTTCTAAACCGAGAGCATCTTTACAGAATACTTACTGAGCAGCTTTTCCCAATCAATGCGCACTCATGCAAAAATACTTGAACTTCCTTATGTGGTCCAAAGACCACCCTCTCTTCTGGATATACTTGTATTGTAAAGAAATGCTGGACTGTCCGTGTGGTTTTAAACAGGGCCAAAACTTGCATTTTTCCTGTCAAATCCTCAAAATTATTGGGAATGTAGTCTGGGAGGGGAGCAGGGAGAGAATGTGGGATCAGAACGCCTGATCTTCCTATAACTCGAATGCAAAGTTCTTTGAAGTGGAATGTGACTCCTGTCTGAAATCTGCTTTTCTGTAAACATGCTTAAATGCATCTTAACTATATCCGTTGAAGGGCAATGCAACTGTAAAAAGATCTCTGTCTTTCTGTAAGACCTTGCTATTGTTTTTCCAACCTTTTATAATAAAACTTTGCAGTAAGAAACAGACATCTTAATATTAAGACTAGAAAGAAACGTTAAGAAATAAAGACAGATTATACGGGCTAACCACATGTAGGGAGGAAAACTGTTTTGTCTTCATTCAAAAATTGTAAAAAAAAAGTCTAAATCAGGTTAACAAAATGTTAAAACTTGCATGAACGTTATCAATGAGATTCTAGAAGACTGCAATGTAAAGCTGGTTATTATAGAATTTTTCTGATTTAAGGCGCAATTTGAATTATCTAGGAAGTAGTTAGAATATAGATAGGCACAAATAAATTTAATAAGGAGACCAGTATTAAGAAGCAATGCTGTTAGTTACCTGGTAGTAAATTAAAAATATTCTCGTGACTGAGGTAGCATGAATAGAACTTTTAATTGTCATTTTAAAGAGAACCCATTGTTTTAATCTTTCAAGATTACTGAAATGGATTTTCTGAGATAATTTCAAAATTTTGATATAGTAACTAGTGCAGTGCTCCAGAAGAAATACGTCAGCAGTAACAAAATGCAGTTGGCGTTTTTGAACAAACGAGTAAAGAAATGCTTAGTAGTTGCATATTAGTCTGTGAAACAATCCAAGCAGCAAAGTGAGACAGTTGCTAGCAGAGAGAGTACTGTCAGCTTGCTACATGAGCGAACAGCAGCGACATGGTTTTCCTTCTCTGTTACCTGTTAATGAGGGATCTTCAGTACCGTCCCCAGATACCTGGTTGTGAAGAGTGTGGTGTGTAGGTGAGCTTAAGCGTTCCTCTTGCCCTTGTAGGGAGACAGAAATTTTGTGAGGTGCTGTGTTCAGGTTCCCACCCAGCCTTCTCACGGAGATTGTCTGTGGGACTTCTGTGGTTTTCTGCCTGTTCAATGGCTGATAGACCTGACTGTAGTGGCCTACAGGGTGATACGATGGTTTCTCAGACTTGCTGTCATCTTCATCATCATCAATCATGACTAGTTCTGCTCGGATAACCCCGTCATATCTTGACGACTTTTCGTCTGCTTCCGCATCTTCATCAATGCGCTGATAACCCATGAAAATCATTGTAACTGGTTCTGAATCATCCACGTAACATGGTACAGCTTGGACAATGCTGTACTGAGCATCTTCCTCATCCTCTTGAGGGGCAGAAGATACTTCATTAAGACGGCAGGAATTTAAAGACCTTGCCTCGTGATGTTTTTCTCTTGTATTCTGGTAGGGTTTTAATTCCTCATGTGCAGTGTTTCTCTCTTCATTATATATCATCCTGTTCTCAGGATTAGTGTGTACTTTCTTCTCTGGCTGGGAAAGTACTGGAGAGGGAGACTTTGGATGTGTTACCTTTGGGAGATCAACACCATTTTCTTTATGTTGCTGCATGAAGGGTTCTACTGTACTGAAGAACTCTGTCTGATGATTGCTAAGTCCATTCGTATCTGTTTTGCGTTGGTCTTCCAGTTTTGGTCCAGGGACTAATTTATCCTTCTGAGGAGTAATTGGCCTGCAAAATTTGTTGGCAAACACAGGCTCATGATACTCTGTGGGAGACTTGGAATTTTTTTCAGTTGCCTGCCTTAGAAGGTCCTCCACCTCAACAGGAGCAAGTTCATCCATGCCATTTTGTGTTGTGTTGCAATTTGAGGACACTGCATAGACTGACTTCCTGCCATCATCATAGACTTTAATTCCTGTCTCTTTAAACTCGTTGGAGGGAAGAGGTATTGTTGATAATACTGTATTTTCTCCTGTCTTCATATCTTTTTCAACTTTAATTTCCATGGCAAACAATGCTGTTGGAAGAAACAGGTACTTAAAAACTGATAACGCAGCAGATGCAAAAAAAATAATTTAAGAGAGTCCTGATACTGAGAATGAACGTTAGAACCCAGTATAACATATTTGATAATTTATTCTCATTTTGAATCGCCTAGCTATCCTGTGAAAATTTCAGGAAGTGGGGGGGGGGACCCCCAAATATTTTGTTTTGAATCTACTTCTGCAAGAAAAATCAGCCATTGAGGAGGCAGTTCTCATTATGCGATTCTGATTGAGAAGGCCAGGTTTAAACTTGACCTCAGGAGATATGCTGGGCAATAGCAGTTGAAGGAGCTCCATGTGCTGCAAGATTAGAGTCTTGGGTGCTCAGGGTAGGAGGCTTTGTAGTAGTTAGGAAATAACTTGACTAGATATTATTGCCTGATGGGTGTAACTGTTAATAGAAAATGTGTGGTATATGATACAAAAGGAGGAACTACTTCAAGTTATGGTATAGGTGCTGGAATGTAGGGCTGGAGATTGTTTTCAACATTGACACTTTCTCGATGGTACGTTGCTTAAAGCCACGTCCTACCTTTCAATTTTAACAATGTTGATGATAAAAACAGATTAATTGAGAACAAGTTTGTCCCATATCTATAATCATTGTCCTAAAAGCATAACAGCTTCAATTTTTAAGAAGCTTTTGCAGTTGTTATATACCTTTGGAGTTAGTAACAAACAGTACCTTTTCTCTTTTCTTCATCTGTTGCAGCATGTCCTGCCCTTTTTAGTGCAGAGGGTCTGAAATACTTTGGAAGGTCAGGTATGTTGGCATATATGTAGTCTGCTGTCTCTGAATAAATAAGATTCACAATGCCTTTAGTATGCTTTTACTAACTTGTACAAGAAACGTATTAAAATTTTGACTAAACATACCTTCTTCAATTCCTGCTTTTTCTGCTTTCACAGACTAGAAAAGAGAACCATGTAACAATATAGGTGATTAGTCAGTTTTAAGAGATTGTCTAGATAGTGTTTTGCTTTACCTGATAGTTTTAAGTTTTTGTGGACACCAGTTTATATTGAGGTATACCTAAAGTGGAAACTTCTCAGAAGAACACTTGGAGCACGGCAGGTGGAAAAGTGAAACTTTCTCATGTATTTGGGCAGCACGTCCTGACTTTCTCTGTGTGATTTAGAGTTGTTAGAAGCTGTTAATGAAACAGGCTTGCACTGTGGCCCAGGGTGGTTGATTTCAAATATTTCCAAAGGCTCTACTCTGGCTCCCCAGTTTTGTTTATTCCTCTGTTTATTTTTAAAGTGCATGTGCATTTGTGTGCAAGAAAACTAGAAAACTGAGGCTGAGCTGCTTCATTATATTTTTAAAAGAAGGCTTAAGATGGTTTTTTTTTTTTTTTTCAAATGTCAAAATGACATTTTCACAAAGGCTAATGACTAATAGTAGTAAGGCATGTTTTCCTATAATCTCTCTCAGGGAGTCAGGAGAAAGCATGATGCAGTTTAGCTGGACAGATCAGCTTGAAGGAGTGCAAATAAGTCAGTCTTTGTGCTCGTGGCTTGCATCTATCTTCTGCTGAGATTGAAAGTTGCTGATTGGTGACAACCACAGTGCTATTTTTCATGATGTACTATAAATGAGTAATGATATGAATTGTCCTTCCCCCGCAAACAAAAGTATGGAGACATCTGGGTGCTTGAACAGTATAATTTCTTGTCTCCTGTAATTGAACGATTGTCATCTAGACAAAAGTTCATGAATTCTCACAGGATTCAGCTAGTTAATCTTTTACTGTTAAGTGTAAGTACTGCACACTAAGTGTTTACATCACTGTTGTTATGAATGAGTATGGAATTCTTACTTCTGTAATGGTTTGGCACTAACCTTGATTATGTCTTCTGTTGTTTTCTCAACTGACTTAAGTTTCCTTAAAATAGCTTCTTCGTTAGCTGAGATGTTCATTTCCTCTTTTTCCAGAGCCTCAATTTCTTTCTCCAGTCTGCAATCACAATTCCCTTTGATTTAATACCATGAGCAACGTTGTAGATTCAATACACTTTTAGAAGGGACATTAGCGGGACTGATTCCACTCACCCTGACAAATTTCACTCTAATATGGAACTGGCTTATGACTTCAGATACCTCAGGAACGATTGTGAAATTGGAATCATGCTCAGTTTTTTTTTTAAAAGGTACTTGCCATAAATTCCTTCCGAAACTACTTCGAAAACAGACACTGAAATTAACTTATTTTTCAAGAGGGAATGGATAAGGACCATACGTCCGCTGCTCCCCCCTGCCCCCCAGGATTTCCTCATCTTCAAATGGATTTTCTCTCATGTATTGTCTCAAGAAATATGATTACCCCTGTGTAATTATGATGTGGGAAACTAGTCTAGACAGACACTAGGGTTATGACTTAATTCACTTGTCCCTTTATTCTGTATGTGCAATTGTACTGTAGATCACAAGTAGTACATTCTTTCACTCTAAGAACATAAGAAGAAAGTTCTTCTAACTGGCAATATGTAAAGGGTTAGAGTATATCACCTCATGCACTATACTATATTTATCCAAACGGAATTAGGTGGATCACATGTGGAAGAGAGTTCTACTCTGTCTACGACTAGAAGCTGCAATTCCAGAATAAGGGAGAAAAATACAGACAAAGGCATAGACTGTTGACCGCTATCCATGGAATCCAAATGACAATCGTATTTCTGAGGGATAGAGCTGGTATTGTATGCTGATGCATCAGGCTTTTGTTTTAATGGAAGTACTTGCAAATAAATAAAAATTATTTTTTATAGAACTAAAATAGATAAAGTAGCATTTCCTTATTTTCATATTAAAATTAGTTAATACAACTAGAAACCATAATAGTGATATGTTTTGTAGACTCTGAAGTGATAACTGTGTAGTCTTCAAAAACTAAGCAACCTGCATAGCAGAAGATGCTAGAAGGATTGAAGTTAGAAGCTTTGTTTTGTATTTGTTTTTGAATTGAGAACAAATACCCAAGATGATGGATGGGCTTTGTGATGGCATGTTTTCAGCTCTATTATGCCAAGGCAGTTCCCTTAGATGGTTTTGCATCTCTGGACGTGGGTGCTGGGATTTCAAAATTCTTTGCTTTGGTAAAATGGATGTAACAGAGCCTGACTGCTAGTCTGAAGTTTGATCTCTGTTGGGGAGGGAAGAGGGAAAGGAAGTGATTGAAAAAAGCAAGATATTGTTGAGATTAGGGTTTTTAGTGTAGCATGCCATGTCACTGATAGAATAGCCAAGAGGTTATATAGCTACAGATTTTTTAAAAACACTAGTCAATTTTCAGGATTCCCCTTTAATGTTGTGTGTTAAGATTTTTACAGACATATGCGCTTCCTTTCTGTATGTATGTGCTTCCCAGTTACTCATCAACACTTTGTATATTTTATTCTATAGAAAAAAATGCTGTAATTTTGTCTCTGAAAGTATTCACTTTCAGCAGAACAGCAGTGGTGAACACTGGTTCAATGCACCTAAGACAAGCAGCTTGGAAGGATTAACATTTGCAGTGCTTGCTCAAGTAATATCCTCACAAATATTATCAATAAATTTGTGAGAGAAACTGGGTAGCTCAGATAGGTGAGATAAACATCATGTCGGGTATTAATAACAACCACTTTCTAAACCTGCATTTGAGTGAGATTTCCTGCACCAAGAAGCAATTTTTAAGGACTGGTTTATTGTGAGAAGAGACTTTGTACCTAGGTCTAACCAGTTATAGCTTTATTTTATAAAGACTAGAAGTTTGTCCTATGAATACCACGTACACTAAATTTGGATATTCTGTAAGGCAGCAGGATATTGTCTTGTCCATGAAGACTTTTGGCTGGTGGGCTATTTTCTCTAAAAACACTTATTAAAAAAGATAGATGAAACCCAACAGTAAGAATTTCTTTTGGGCTGTTGTCTTATGCTTGAGGTTTGAACATTATTTAAAAGGCATCATAGCTCTCTTCCCCTTCCTCCCTTTTTTTGTTATATGTTAAAACTATGAAGCTGTATGTTTTGTTGCATGTTTTAAGGCATCTTTTTTCTAATAAGAAGTTTGATATTCTTAGAATTAAAATGTCTGAAACACTTCTTATTGGAAAGGTTCAGAATAAAAAAAAATCTAATCTCTGTGTTTGTGAGAGAGGGAGAAAGTTGTGCCTAGTTAAAGCACACCTCTGAGGTGTGTCTCAGTGAAATTTCTTTCTCAGATCTGAGTAAGGCAGTGACTTCAAGCAGGTGTCCTATATCCTGTCTTTCCTCTTTCTAGTCAGTGCTGTTACATTCTGCATAAGTAAATACTCATTGGGTTTATAGATAGAAATTTGTCCTGTAGCCTAGCAGTTAGCAAGTTGCTTCCTGTGAAGGTTGTCTAGAGTCAAGCCTGGATTTAGCTCTAAACTGCGTCTTGAACTGAGGGCCTAATGTAGGAGGTGAATGTCATGGCTTCAGACACCCTATTCATCTATCTTATTGTCAATGTGTTTGAAAACTTTTTTTTAACTTAGAAGAAAATTTCAAATCCATTCAGATTTGAAAAGCTTTTGAGTCCATTTCAGAAAATCATGGTTGTAGCCAACTGCGACTGGGATCTGTAATTGCTCGGATCAGTCAGAACAGAGTTATCAGTGAATGATCTGACCCGAAGTTACTTTAAAGCAAGAAAAAAAAAAAAAAAAGAAAGAAAAGTAATGATGGACTATACTCCTGGTATGCTAGAAAAAGATGTCTTATGTTCTGACTTATTCTTCAGTATATGATTTCAGTGTGATATCATGCACCTTATCAACATTGCTAATAGAAACCTGTCTTCTCTTTAAAACAGCAGGCAGACCAGAATAGTTGAATGCAGGCTAGCAGGGGAGCATTATTTATCTTGGTCTGTGTGCTGCTTGAGGAGTCTAAATAACACTATGCCTGTTGCCCTATTCAAGCTCATAAACGTAGAGTTACAAGAGTAGGATACTGTGGATTTGTAGCTGTTGGTGAGAATTTCCTCTCTTCTGAAACACAGAATTTATCATAGCCCTCAGAACTGAGGTGTGAAGAAAAGTATATCCAGGATGAAAGTAAAAGCTAAAAAAAAAAAAATAAATAAAAAGCAGTTGACGTTTTGGCCCTGCACTTCACAAGATGCCCTTAGCAGACTGTTCAAAGATTCTGATTGTAGTGCTAAATTTAACAGTTTGTGATGAGGAGGATGAGTATTCTTGGAGGGCTATAAAAGAAACCAATGCAATTACTATATGCCCTATTTCTGCGCTTATTGAAATATTGGGTTTTTATACAAATATTATTCTCTATATTACACAAGACTTGATTGCTGTATTCTCATAATACAAAAATTAGTCATTTAAAGCTCATACAAGCATAATGAGCTGAAGAATCATTAACTTTTACTATGGGTTTATTTCAGTCTGGACTCTAAACACACCTAGACACATAGATGGAAGAAGAGGAGAAGGACTCTGGAAAGGTATTCAAAACCCAAATAACTCAAAAAAAAAAAAAAAAAACCCACTCTCAGATAACCATATAGGATTAAGAAGTGTTATTTCAGTTTATGCTCACACACCCATACTGACACCCACTTCGTATGGTAATTAAGAGGACTGATTCAGTGCTCAGTGTGGTTAGGCAAAAATTCTCATATCATGCAGTGGGAGTGGCATCTTGACCTTAAAAGTATCTCTTTTGTACTTGTGCATGTACATGAATAGTTTTTGTGGTTCATTTTCAGAGAATATTGTAAATGTGCACCCTAGAATTTGTTGAAAGGAAACCTTTAAAAGATGCAGACTATATACTTCAGATAAATCAGAGTCCTTTCTACTTTGTACAGTTGGAAAAGTTAGGCCAGAATATCTCTCCCTGGTGTGTTTAAATTAAATCTTCAGAAATTTATAAATACTCTGAATCAATATCATTGTTATGAAGTTGTCAGAGTCTGCATTTGTTTAGAAAGACTCTAGCAGTTAAACTAGCAGTTATAATAAGCTTCCTTTTGACAGTGCTGCTTATGTTGAGCAGAGGAATGGAAGCATGACAAAGTACTGTATTAAAATAATCCTCTGGGTATTGTCCTTCTGTCTTTGAGTAGTGCTCCCTGTTGAGAGGGGACCATAAGAAGCATGGAGGTGTGGATTAAAGAACAAACCTTAAGCTGAGATTCTGAATTGGAGGCTGCCCTGCTGCAGTAGTAGCTGAATAAAGGAATTCATCAGTGCATACCTGACCACTGATGGTCACTAGCTGGTCTGCTGGGGTTGGCACCACTGCCACCCCCAGAAGAAAAATCAAGGACACTAAGGTTGAAAAGCAGATCAGAGTCCCCCGGAAGATATCAGACTGAGAGGAAAAGGCAGCCTAGCAAGTTCTCACATGTTTTGAGGTGAGTCAAATGCTTTAGCAGCTCTGGAGTCTATCTAGCCTGAGTCTGCTTTTATGTATTAAAGTACAAACTAGTTGAACAGTCCTTAGTAACATGATGTTTGTATATTTTTAAGTATGTTTAGCAACTAATTCCATCAGGAATGAGTGCTATTTGCCGTGAAACAAAGTGATAAAACGATAGACTACCTAATGCTTCATTCACCTTGTACCCTGACCAAGAACACGCTGACTTGGTGTGCTGTACCTTCTAACATGTAAACAGGGTGAAAAGAACAGATGCACAGATGCTGTGAATGCTCTTGCTGTCTGTAACCACCGAGCTAGTTGTCTGCAAGGTGGTTCAGGCCATTGTTAACTGTTTTATTACTGACAGAAAGAATGGAACTCTTCTTTTTATTTTAAAACATAACACCCCTCTCCTGCCTTCCCTGCCCCCCCCCCAATCATAATTGAATAGCAGACCTATACAAATTCTATTGGATACTCAACTAAATGTTTCAAAACAGAGATCCCATTTAGGAGAGCAATGGAAAGGTCCATGCCCCTATTTTAAATAATCTGCCTGCAACTGCAGGTAGTTGTCCTCTGAGCAGAAAGAAAAGACTATTCTAAGGGCACTGCCAAAACCTTTAAAGTGTTTTAGATATATTTTTATTTATTGAAAATGAAATCCAAATTCCGTCCATTGGGTGGACAGAATATATTTGGTTATTCAACAGTAAAATTTAATAATTGAGTGCACAGTAGAAAGAATACTAAGTTTCTAAATAATACCTTACTGCCCCTGCATGGCAAGTGTATACATGATCAATGTCAGCCTTTCCTTGCAGGGTGGGTCAAAGGTATGACTGTGCATATGTGTAGTTGTGCAAGCTTTTGCTAGCTTGTATACTATCAGTGGCACAGAAGCACTGCACAGTGTCTTCACAGTGCTTTTGATTTTGTGCTTTTTGGTGGACTTCAGCGTTCACGCTGAACTGTGTTGCTCGGTTTCTCTTTCTGTGCTGGCTGGTTTGAAATTGGGCTAGATATGTCTAAGCAAGATGACATACCTGGAGTGCAGCATGGATATGTCTTTGGAGGCGTTTGTTTGACAGCTATTGAACAGTGCTAGGAAGTATAACTTATAGGGAAAAAATGCTTGATGAGAACAAACCTGCTCAAATTCCTAGCTCAGAGACCAGTTCTCACATGACTCCAGGTATGTTCTTCTGCCTCCGTTCCCCAACCTGTAAAATAAAATGTCCTTGCCTAGCTCCTCTGTGTATCGTGAGGATAAAAACTGCTAAAGATTGTAAAGGTGTGTAGATTGTGTGGTTGTAAGAGTAGATGTTTTCATTATTAAAATACTTATTTTCATAACAAGGTTTGTAAGTCTCTAAACTTCACTGCTGAAGTTCTAGAGACAGAAGTGAGTCCCCTCTACTGCAGGGTGGAGGGCAATTAGGAGCAGCTCTGCGCTGCTCCTCACTTTCAGGGTGCAAGTTTTTATTCTCATATTTTGTGTATCGTGGTTGATGTATTATTTGCATTTTTATAATACTGGTGGTGGGTATCACCATTGATTCTCTTCTGTATGCTCTCTTACAAAACGCATTCACAGCAGAAGGAATCAATGCATGCCATGCAAGTATTGCTTGATCATCGCTCTGAGGTTGTTACCATAAAAGCAAAGGCAGTAAATCATTTTGCATTGCATTTTCTTTGTCATTTTATAGTGACATCCTTTGACTTGTTTCACCCCGACTAAATTTGGCCTGTTTCAGATGTGTATCAAGAAGTAGGAGTCACTTTAAACCAGAGCAGTCTAGTGAAGCTTACCAAGGTAAGACCACAGGCCAGAAAAGTTAATTGGGCAACAAAGCTAGCTGGGTAACGCTTTTAACAACAAACAGTTGTGGAAGTGCTAAGTTCACCATGAAAGAATCGGTTGCCATAAAAGGGTAGTATAAAAGGAGGTAGCATTAAAAAATATATATATATAAAAAGAACCATTCACGGGTTTTGTTAAGCAAGTGTAGTAAAATAAGTGGCCTTGCATTCTTGGGAAAGAATAATTTTTTTATTAAGAGGATAATGGCAGATATCTACTATCAAATGTTCCTTGCAGTTTTTCCACTGCAGTGCTCGTGGCTGCAAGGAAAGTCATTTCACAATTTAAAATGCTGCTTTATGGTCAGAATCTCAGTCATCTAGATATGCAGATAACATTATTCATGCTTTTAGGTAATTGCAGCTGGAACTGTGTAGGAAGAGAATTCATACCTAATTCTATTTATATGCCTGTATTTAGGAGAAATTGTAATTAGTTTAAAAACTAAACAAAATTGGTATCCCTGCACCAGCCTTACCTGGGAAAAGAATTTCAAAATGCATCTCTAGTGAAGAGTGAATGTTAATCAAGTCTGGCAAAAATTCTAGTAGGATAGTAACAGACACTTATTTCCATAGCCAAGCTGGTACAGGCTCAGGTGTACATTAAACAGAGCTCAGGAACCTCAGCCCTGCCTGGTGTAATGTGTGTGCTCCTGGTCATGTGATGCAGTACTGTGTGTGCAGCCTTCCCTGTCAAAGAGTGTCTGCATCTAGTGCTTCTAACTATTACAAAATGGAAGTAGGCTGAGACATTACTCCAGGATCCATGTGATTTAAGTAAGCAAGCTGGTATAGGTGATTGGTTTGGCACTTTTGATTTCTTCTTCCTTAAAGCACAAATGCATTTAGAGATCAACTCCTGGATTCATTCTGGAGTTAAAGCAGAAGAAATGTTCCACTGTGGTGCTGACTTGCCCCTTTGGAATTAAAGGAGGCTTTTAGGTTTGAAGCTCCAGTTGGATTATTGTGTTTCGCTACTTGAAATAGTGATAACTCTAATCATACTAAGGTCTATATGGCTGTATTCACAGAATTAGAATTTTCTTTATATGTTCAATTTTGGTGTCTCAGGAAATAGAAATTAAAGGTCACTGAACTGAGGAAAACGTCAGGACAATAATTACAAGAGCACTATCAAAAGACCCTACAACTGTAGCTATAAACCTAGGATTCTGTGAGACATGGGAATAGCATTACATACGTAACTTACCAACCCTATTAGAAATATCAGGAGGTCACCATTAAGAATGTGGAGTCACTTCCAAAGAGAACATCCAAACTAACTTTAAAGATTTGCTGAGATCTCTGAATTAGTAGTGTAGGATGGTTTTAAAGTCCTAATCCTATGTTCCAAATCTTCCCAGTGATAAGACAGAAGGGGCTTGCCGCCAGCGTTGCTGGGAGACAGCTCAATTACAATGACTCAAGCACAGAGAGCCCTTAAGGTACATTATCAGGTGACGGACTGGATTTAGATGCTGGAGATACAGAACCTTTTCTGCTAAGGTATTTCAGTGTTTCCAAGTCAGTTAATCCGTCAGGAGTTTAATAGCGCTTCTTTCAGTGGCACAGATATTCACAGATCTGCACTATAAGAGCATTTCCTGTTCTTTACTAGGGAATTGCTAAATGTCCAAAACAGTGTAGATGTTAGCTATGTCAGGAGAATTATATTATCCCTCCCTCAACACACCCACACACCAAGTGCAGCTCTTGACTTGGTTTTGAGGCTTAGAAAAAATTTTTTTTAAGGTCTCTCATCACCAAATTTCATAGGGCATAAAGGGAATTTTAGCTAAACCTCTAGCTCTTATTCAAAGTCAATGGGTCTTTGAAAATCTAGTCTAACCTCCAGCTCAGGAAAGAGCTAGAATTCCCATGGGCTAGTGGGGAGCTACCTACTCTGTACAACTTCAGGATTGTTCCTGGGCCGGTCCTTTTCCACATGGCTCCTTGTCACAGGGATCCATCCCTTTGGTATGTCTTCATAATCGCAACCTGCTGGGATGTTTTTAGAGCATGCTGTCTACCTCCTACCACTGCAGCAAGGAAATCCACAGAGGTACTCGAAAAGTTGTTCTGCTGAGGAAAGTGCTTTCAAGCAAGAAGTCGGCGTGATTATAGGACAAACTAGCACTAGGCTGCTGCTTGTCAGCAGAGACAATTCTCATTTGTGTCAGAGATATGGACGAAGGAGGGAAGTGGGAGGGAAATAACTGGAGGAGATAGTCTTGGTGACAACTTTGCCAAAGAGTATGTGTAGGAGGACAGTGGAGGAAGAGGGAACTATGAGGAAGTTGCTATTGAATAGAAACAGAGGAAAAAGCCTCAAAAAAGGATGATGAAACTTTTGTGAACCTAAAGAAACAGGAGCGTTTCAGCTTTGCTGTGGATGTTAATGCAAAGTACCAATATGCCTGGACCCAAGGAGGGAGCTGATTGTGTATAGAACCCTCAAGTATTCGGAAAAGGCTAACTGTGCTAATAAGCACCTAAAAGTATGTCTTTTGGGTTTTTTTTTGTTTTTTTTAAACTATAAAGTAGGCTGCCTATGCAGTTCAAAGTTAGCCATGTGTGGTGGAGAGGCACTAGCCAATGTTATTTGAAGATTTATTTATTTTTTTCTTACATAAAGAAGGCCTTTGCCTGATAGGGTGCTAGGAAGAAGTTTAGGAGACAACAGCATGGAAGATGAATAAGAATGAGGCAAGTACTACTCATGAGACTAGACCAATTGTCATGCTCAGAAGCACTGTATTATAGTAAAAGTCAGGTTCTAAAGGCTGTGTGGGATCTAGTGAAATTGAAGACCTTTTAAAACAGTGTACTGTTATTTCAAAATTCTGATTCAACAATCACTATCCTGGAACAAACCTCAGGCATTGCTGCTTACGTGCATTGAATATAGCATGAAAGGTGTATCTAGAATCAGAAAGACAAATACTCTTTGAAGTACTGCACAGTTTTGTAAAACTCACAACACTGAAAATTGCACAGTGTATTCTCTTGTTTTAGCTGTCCAGAAAATATAACAAAGATTGCTTCAGTTTTGCATATGTTTAGCCCTCACTGACGTTTTAATCTTTTATGAAGTAGGGTGGGACTTCTAAGAAAGTACCATTTTAACCCAGATAGGAGGCAGAGCTGTACTATCTTACCTGAGAATGTCTTGTTCCAGCTCCTGAGTCTGTTTTTGGTCCTCCTGATTCTGCTTTTGCATTTCTTCTTGCTCTTTTGGAGTGAGAGAACTAAGACCATCCAAGAGCCATTTTTCTCGCAAGGCCTTTTTCTGAGGGAAAGATACAGACAAGTGTACTTTAAGAGTTAGGCTTGTCAGTTTTCTGTCTTTGGATGCTGTAGGTGTGATGCACGTTTTTGTGCTACCCCTAGCACATGGAGACTTGAGAGGGGCCAGTGCCCTGAAAGAGGAATGTTTAAAAATGATTTATGTTTTGGGATTGACTTAAGAACAAAGTCATTAAGAACAGTATCCTGTTTCATCAGTCCACCTAACAGCTAGGCAGAGGACACGTCAGTTGCTACCTGTAGTTGATTTCATGTTTCAAGGTAGAGCCAGCATTGTGGTTGCCCTGAGTAGAGCAGAAAAGCTGCGTCGAAACATGCATATATTTTACAGACTTGTGCAAAAGGCTCCAGTCAGAAGTGCTATGATCTTTATTTCAGTAGCCCCACCCCAATTTCTTGATCGTGGGATTACATTAATGCTGGGAGAGAGGGATCAAAGATGAAAAGTTTCTTTCCGCTATTCGTTGTAAATAAGGTCTTGGGCAGGTGGAGGGATTTCTGGAGAGTTAGTTATACAATTCTATGCCCTGAGTTTGCGAAGAACTTGAAATGCAAACTCACTATAGTAATTACACATCTGATGAGGGGGTATGGGGCAAGAGTGGGACTGCAAATGTGGAGCCAGGGATGCTGTTGTCTGGTTAGTGTTGCAGCAGATCTGCTGCATGTTTTGAACTGCTGCTGTAGGGGTAATTCAGGTGTTGCATATTTTGGTCCTGACCTAGCCAGTACCTGAGGAATTCCTTGTGTGCAGTATTGGTTTATAAATGGGTGTCTTGCAGGTGGATCTCTAAGCTGTGTTCTCAAATTTTGAAAAATCTGGCCCTGCACACTGATTGCTTCCTACAGCTGCTCTAGAAGGTGAACAGCAACATCTGAAAGTCATCAGAGTTCTCCAAAATCTTCACGACAGAGAAGTTCATACAGGCAGGTTGGAGGTGATAAGCCATGCAAACTTTCTTGCCTCTTTTACCTCCCTTCGGTCCAGCTGAGTAATATACATTCAGTGCTTGCTTAGGGAAGAAGTTAGTCTTGGCACCTTAGTAGAAACGTTATTAAGGGCGAGGGGAAAGCATGCACATAAGGATGTTAGTTAACCATAAAATTTCCATTTGTAATGTAGGTTCCATGAGCTGTCTGATTTCTGCGTTAGGTTTGTTTGTTTATTTTTCCTGGGTAGCTTTGTTAATTGTACAACGTGGATGAACATTAAGTTAGATTTTTTCATTACTACTACTTAGAGGCAGAGTTGTGCCCAGCAGAGGTAAGAAAGCTGCACTGACCTCACTGCTGCTGGGAGAAGCTGTCCTTGCCTGCATCTTGTTCATCGAGTCTTTGAAAATGTTTCTTACTACCATTTTCTGGTTGCTCTACGCTTCACGTGAGGTTGTTACTGAGGGACAACTGTTGGCAAGGATGTATCTGGGACCTGATTGCAGTTAAATACATATTACCAACATCTTTGATACGTGGTATACTTAGATGAGTGAGGTGTGGATTATTAAAGATAGAAACTGTGGGCAGAACAGGCTTGTTAGGGATTCTCTGCCACTTCCCTGGTCTTCTGCGGAATGCAGGAGCGATGTTTACAGTCTCCTTAGCCCTGCAGGATGGCATTCTCGTTCACAAAACTGTGGATCCTAGGAAATCTGTGGAAAATAAGGACTGCCCAAGATTTAGGCCCTGAGCCCTGACCCAGCTTTGTATCACTTGGCAGCTCCTTCCGACTTTCGTGCAATTGTGTTTTAGAACGACTTCAATGAAATATATGCAGATGTTTGAATAGGATGGTTTCACCTGATCTAATAGATGCATGTAGTTTGGTGTTGGCACAACTCTTAATGACCATAAAATACAGTTTTTTTTCCCTCGTCAGAGGTAACACAGTTGTTAATGCCCTCTGAAACAAGTGTTTAAAACTTAAATTTTAGGCAGGACTCCTAGAAAAGTGAGATTTTAATCTGGTTTAGCACTGAATTAGTCTTGCCTTGCTGTTTCCAGAAATAAACCTAAATTCCTTATGACAGTTACAGAAGGGCTGCCACGGTAGACCTCAGATACTGATAATACTTGTTGGAGTCAACAGAAGCTTTGTGTATGTATAGGGTTAGACCCAAGAAAACAAACTCCCTAAACACAGGCATAACACAATAGGGCCATTCTTGCTTCTTCCTAGAATAGTTTGCTGGTGTTCACAACTAAATGCCATGTAACCTCATTAATTTTTTTTAGCCCCTTTTGAAAAAATGGCTCGTAGCATAATATGGAAACAGTGTCTGAACAATGGACAATTTCTAGCTGTTTGTCATAGAAGACTGCTCCTCGGAGGCGTCAGCACAGGCCGGTGCAGGAACAGCTGCTTTCGGGCTGTCAGATTGTTTCTGCAATCTAGCATTTCCTTCTGTCGTAAAGTTTCTCAGGCCCAATACTAAGTTGTGCATGTTGTACCCTATGTAGTAGCTCCAGTATGAAAATACTTTCATGGTAGCCTTGGTGCGTTGTATAGGAAAAGGGATTCATGTGCACCATGATATGATAAATCCCTCGGAATGGCCTGAAGGCTGGAAAGTGATCATTTCCCCTTGTGGTTTGTAGATACACCATGAGTATTGGGACAGTACTCTGCAATTCTGTGAGTAATGTCCTACAGATGCTCTAGAAATGTATAACTCCACTGTAATCCTTAATAAGGCTGGACTAACACAGAAAGATTCGACTCCCTCTGGAGGGCACAGGGGCTTGAGTTTGCGGATTTTGCTTTCCCCAGAGGTATGGTAGTTCACCTTACAGCATGCTGGGAGAGGCATAAATTGTTTTCACAGAAGACCAGGATGCAGCTCAATGCTATTAACTCCTGGAATAAGAGGGCATGTAGCCAGCATCTGCAAGATAGCACTAATGGAGTTCAGGCATGTTAAAAGCTCAAAACTTAGCAAGCTAGGTTAAAAAAAGCTGTCGGAAAGTTCACTCACTACAGTGTTGACCATGCTATTTCAAGGATCTCCATCTGGTCTTTTCTATTCCTTTCTCAATAGATTCCAGGTGGGAGGTGAAATTTGTTGCCGATACATCTAGAATTACTCTGAGATGAACTTTCCCATGAATGTTCAACTACCAGCTGCTATTAGGCCTTGCAGGTTTATAAAGCATCAGTCTCACAGATATGCTGTATCTGCTTGTGTTTCCTCTAAATATTCCTTCTCCGTTATGGTTCTACTGGATAACTAAGTTTTGTTATGACAAAACTGTCATATCTGTCCCTTTCTAGTAAGAAATTAGTTGGGGAAACAAAGTCTTTGGGAAGTCGGAGAGACCAATTTACAAAATGGAAATATAAAAAAGCCCACCTTTTTTAAAGCTGATGCTAAGAGTTGTAAATAGGAATGATAGGACAAAACTAGGAATGCTAACAAACATCTTTATGACAGTGAGACTTACTAACCTGCTATAGCTTCCCAAGGGATGGGCAAGAGTTGCACTGAGTAGGTCATTAAGCTCTAGATTTCACCATGCTCAACTGTTAGTAGGAAAAACAAAGTCCAAATAATGACTGAAATCAGCCTGACTTCCTAGGGAAATGAGCCCACGGTAAAACTTAGAGGTGTCTAAAGATTATAGAGGTCTAAATCTATTTTAGAGCAATTTCTTTGCACTAGATTCTTGTGTTATTTCACTCAATGGAAATACCTGAGTCAGTCTGAAGCATAAATGTTCATTAAAGAACTTGGCTTCTAGGAGATACACACTGTATGAACATCCTCTGCTGCATGTTAGGTGCCTATTTTAGCGCTCAGTTGGGAAAGGTAGGTCTCTACTTTATCATTTGCAGTTTGGAGCACCATGTATGACTGATTTTTAAAGAATTTTCTGAATGATTTCTCATAGAACATTCACAAAAATAAGTATGAGTACATATGTATATACATTGAACAGTCAGGCACATCCGTCCTCTTCCAAAGGAAGTGTATATGTGAGATACTACATTTTGTTCTTTAAGAAAAGATCCTTGATCACAAAAAAAAATACCCACTTACTATAGGCTTTTGTTGTCAGAGGATGAGACAGCAGGCACATGTCATCTGTGGCTCTGTGGCCGTTAGTGTGGTGTATGCATTTAGTACATGGTTTCATGTAACAAGACTGTTCTTTTGGAAAAACTGACCTTCAGTTAACTATAAAACCTGGGAGTTTGTATCTGTGTATTTGTGTATGAGGGAGGATTCCTCTTTGCTAAGCTTGGTATTTCAATATTTTTCCAGGAGTGCTTTAGCCTCTAAAAATCTATAAAACCTATTCACTTATGCCAGAATAGGTGTTGTATGGGTTTTTTTTGGGGGGAGGGGGGGGGTGAGGGGAGGGTAGGAGAGTGCCAGGTGTGGCACTTTTTTCTTTAACTGAAAGCAAATACCTGGTTGATGTTTAACTCCATGGTACCTGTTAATGTTAGTGGAAAGCATGTACTAAACCTGTAAGGAAACAGCTGTACCACTCTGTCTATACGCAACAGTAGTGAGGATTAGCTAGTATGTCTGGAACAGATCAGTTTATTCTCCTTAAAAGAAGGACAGAAAGTCATTCTGAGTTAATTGACAGGGAAACTTGAAACAAATTGCAATGCTCCTTGTATGCATATACTAAGATGGGGGAGGACTGTCACGTGCTTGCTGTTCATTAGCTACAGGACTTGGAAAAGATACTCATTTCTCTTCTAAACAAGATACTTGCACAATTGGTGAAGCATATCCTTGTGGTCATCATCTTGCAACAAAACCAAAAGCATGGGTGACTTATGCATTGAGCTTGCCTCTTCCAGAGTACTGGGGTATCATAACTTCTCGTTTTTTGGCTTGACACAAACAGAGGGTGCATGAAACCCAGGAACAGGGGCCTATTTTGGAGTTGTTTTTAAATGTACTTTTTCCATACTTGCTCAAGGAGACAAGCCATATTGCTGATATTGCATTCCACATCCCTTTCTTGAAAGACCTTTATTGACTCACGTAGTTAAGAGTGTGCAAAATGCCAAATTTTGCAGATTTCTAGGAGGAAGGATTTTGTTTCATCTGCTTGAATGACATGTAATGCCAAATTGACAGAGACAAATGTAAAGAATGTCGTGTGGGATAAGTCATTGCAGTTTTTCAGTCGGGTGATTACAGAGATGGGTCACTTGGTTTCTCAGTAATTTGGATTTTGTAATTGCGAGTTTGCCAAGTCTCATTTCAGGGGAATATTTGCAGTGCTCTTGCCTTTATTTTTTATTTTATTTTTTAAATATATGAGGAAAAAACCCTCTTTCGTCAAAGAATAATTAAATTATAATTATATTTAATAATTATTAAATAAGCTGAACAGATGCTTCAGTCAAATAAGAAAAGGCTGCTGTTAGGATTTTTTTTTTTTTTTTTCCCCTTCACGGGAAGGTACAATTGTACCTCATGTTTGGGCTATGCACTGTAGCAAGTGAAGTTGCTGTGGTGTAATTACAGAGTAAACGCACCCAGTCTGAAATGTGAGCCTTAATTTTCATTTGTGAGCTTATTCTTGGTTATGATCTCATTTTATGCCATGGGACTGATCAAATCATATTAGCTCCTGAGTGTCAATTTTTTTTTGAATGTGATGCATATTAAAGTCAAATGGAATCCTGGTAGGATTCCAAAAAGCTGTGAAAATTTCACAGTAAAAACATGGCTTTAACCCAGGAAGGTTTACCGATTTTACTATGCTCACTTAATATTCATAAACTTGAAGAAAATCTAATCAACTATTATTAATTGGATGTTGCTGCTCTTTAAGAGAAAAATATGAAACCTTTATTCATGTTGAACAACTTGAGGCTATTTTTAGTTATGTAAATCCAGTATTCTTCACTTACTTTTAAATGCTGGTGTTTCAGTTTTTCCTCCTCTACTTTCAGGCGTTTCTGTGTAATTTCTCCTTGCAGTTTTCTTTTGTCCTACAAGTTAAAAGAGAGCAACAAAGCTTAGTTTAAAAAAATTATTTTGTGCTTAAAAAAAAAAAAATTGGTTGCATGTAGTTCAACAGGACGAAGTCAATCCATGCAAATAAAGCTGTATTTTTAAAGCTTAGATGGCTCTCAGGTGGTGCCTAGTTCTCAGCAGCCACAGCACATGAGTCTTGTTCAGGTATGATTTCCAGTACTGCTCTTCCAAAAGTCTGCCTAAACATGTTAATGACCGCAAAGCAGGTACTATCTAAATTAAAAGGAATTAACTGTTGGTGAGGCAGGAGGGAAAGAAAACAGGAAGAAATAACATTTGAGCACAATTATGCATGCAAATTAAGTCCTGAAATAGTCTCGGACCTAAAATTCTGTGGCAGCTGACACCTTATGTAGGAAACGTTCTGATCCACCTTTTGGAGCTGTGATACATCACTAAGTGAAATGGGCTGCTGGTGAATCCTGCACTGAGCTTATTTGTCTTGTGGCTAATAGCTGCAATAAATTTCTAAGCCCATTTTTATTCCTGTTTATTTCATTACTTGAATAGTGACAAAAAAGTGGTGAAGATGTTATACAAGCTACCTTTCAATTAAAAAAAAAAAAAAATCTGCCTGAGCAAAGGCTGTTGTCACGGTTGCTGACCTTTAGAAAGGGAAACATCAAATACTGCTGATCTGTCGTAGTACCATCTTCATCCTTTTTACTGCTAATTGTAGAGAAGGGAATATGGGTGAACTGTCTCTGAATCCTGGGGACACTCGAGCTGCTTGTGTCTTTGGATAACCTTGGTAGTATAGAGCGTCCTTGTGGCTCCTTTATATGAGACTAAATACTGATTTAGTACTTTGTCTTTAACAGCCAGTGGGAGATAAATCACACCAAAGACAACTAACTAACAGTCTGTATTAATAGACTATTCTCTTGGTCAGCCTTAGTGCTATAAAGTTGTATTACTGGAGATGACAACTTTTGCACTTGATTTACTTCCCTAAAAATGTATCAAGAAACAAGTCATCTGTTGTCATGTGCAGAAACATGTTTGTCAACTGGAGACTAATCCCCCTCCCCGCCCCCTTTCCTTCCTCTAGAGGAACAGATTATAAATGGGGGGGTTTTCTAGCAGAGTTGTCTCTTTGACAAGCATGGCTTAGGAAGGAGTTAAATTCCTTCACAAATGAAGGTAGAGACTTGCCCTTTCAGGTCACCTGAGGAACCAGCTGAGCTTACAGAGTGTGGAAAGTCAATAAAGAGGAAATGCTAGGCATGGCACTGGCAGTTGTTCTCTGCTGTTTTCCTAGAATCTGCAGCTCAGAAATGGGAAGAGCTGTAGCATGCTTGGGGTCGAGTTGCTTCATCTGATTCCAAAACTAAAAATTAATAGTGAGGCCACAGGTTGTACTGATATTTCAGGGGCAGGAAGTTGAAGAAACAATGTAGCTGTGTGGAGACCTAGGACAGGGCTATAGGCTGGCAGAACACAATCCATCTCATGCTGGGGGTTGGTCAGTGAATGGGTGTCAGTGAACTCTTCTTTTTCTTCTATCTGTAAAGTTCAGAAGAATTTCAATATCAATCTTTAAAGACCATCTGTATTTTACCACTTTTCCTTCATGGTGTTAGTCTGCCTCTTTAATACGCTGGACTTAGCATGCAGGGATCTTTACTCGAGATGCGTTCTACCTTCATCTCAGTAGTGATATTGAGGTTTGTCTATGTTCTTTAATACAGCTACTGATTTAAGAACACTACACTGGCAGCTTTTGCCAATAGAGATTTGTACCAGGAGTTGGTGCAGTCTAAAATGAAAATTGGTGCATAAACATACTGCATAGAAAGAAATCATGAAGGTGCAAATAACTGCATTTTAAATTAACTATGTATAATAAATCTTTTTGGTAAATGAAACTTTTACCTGTTCATCTTGTTAAAGGTCTGTGTTTGTTTTGCATTCTATATTTTCTCTGTCTTAAAATTTTCTACTCATATCCTTTAGTGTTCTAACTATATTTTAGTTTCACTAGTTGATGATAAACATTCACTATGTGGTCATCTGAAAAAAGTAGATGGAAATAGGCTGTCGTGTGTATGCATATCTAGTCTAAGAAACCTGAAGGCTGAACACCAGAAGTTGAATTCAAAGGAAATGTAGGGCATAAGAGGAACTTTTCTGAACCTTGTGTGGCCAGAATAGTTTTTAAAACATGTTAGGACACTTCCTTGCAGTGCGCTCTATCATATGCTTTGTTTGCAAGTAATATTTTGCTTTGACTATGTGTATGTTGGAATACAAATTTATTACTAGAAGATATCCAAGGGATCTATGCTTCCACTGAACTTCATATTGTGCCCCTGCAGATAATCAGGTTGCAGATGGAAGTTTTCTCTTAACACGTACTTTTGTTAACATGGCCAAGATTTGCTCTTTTTGAAAGAGCAACCTAATTTCTTCCTTTCTATTGTATGTAGGTGCAAGGAGAGACTTGAGTTTGTCTTAGAGTTCACTCCTACTGAAGTCCATAGGAGTCTTTCCTGACTCTGAGCGTAAAAAGAAACCATGTTCCAAAGTGGGAAACGTGTCTACAAAGGGGTCTCTTGCTAGGTAACCTGTGTGCTGAATCTGTGAATCTATGTCAGTAGTCCACTGTTGCCAATATTTTTTTTTTGTCTGCTTGGTCCCATGGCAGATGCCATGTACTGTCAAGGCCATCAGAGCAACTAAGGTGTTAGTTAGCTAACGTATTGTCATTTTTCATATTGTTTTCTAGAGGTGCTTCTTGGTCTTGCAGAGGACCTTGTCTGGAGGTATGGACAGCTCAGTCTAATAGGATGAGACTGCAGAAATGTTGTAATTCAAATCCCTAAGTCTTCCTGTAATTTTTGTTTTCTTACAGAACAGAGGATTTGATGAAAAAAGATAAAGTCCTGCATTCCTCTTTGACTGGTCTGTCTCCATATATTTGCCACAGCAAACATTACAGCTTCTAGATTTTATGATATGACAGTGTCTCTATCAAAACAAATGCATTAGATATTTTTAACTTGTTACCTCTTATGTACACCAGCAGCGAGGGGAAGCCCTATAACAGTGTTTCTTCTTGGAGCCATGGGAACATCAAAAACTTAGAAAAAATAATTGATTTTTCCTTTCTGCTTTGCTGCTTGAAGATACAGAAAAGAAATTGAAAAGCCTTGGTGGCTCCGCAAGAGTCAGGTGCAGTAAAGGAGCTGGGCATTTAACAAGAGAAACCAATTAGAAGTCCAGTTCTTTACTGCTCTGAGTAGCTGACTGCCCAGTGCAACCTCTTCTAGATCCCTTCACAACATGATGTCTTTAGGGTAGCACTTATGCTTCCTAGGCATGTTGCCTACTTGGGAGAAGTCTTCCCAGAGCCACTGAGTACCTTGAGATCAAATTGTGGTGTTTTCTTAGACAACTGATATTGCAGCTTCTTAAACCTGATGGTAATTTCATTTTATTTAGACTTCTTCCTTTCTGCAGTGCACTGCAATAAGTACATTGAGCGTTTCAACTAAACGGTCTGAATTGATAGGTAGACAACTACCAAAGTAAAGAGCAAATGGTTACTTTATGCAGCAAGCGTAATAAATGAAGTCCTGGCCATAGCCCAAATATGATTTCCCATTTTCTATAAGGCAAGACACTTAAACCTGTGACAGCTTCCAAAAATGCTTCTCCCGTGTTCCTCTGAAGGCAAAGGTGCAGCCAGAGAACACCAATTCCAGTGCACGCATAGGAATCCACGTTAGCAAGTCTGAGGCCTCATTCCTCCTGCCAGATACTAGGAGGTGTAAAACATTGCAAGGCGTGGATTTCTTTCTTCCCTGGAGCTCCAAAGCATTTCCTATCTTTGAGCCCAGACACTACAGACAAAGTCCAGGTTATGAGTCTAGTTCAAACCCTCTACAGTAACAACCAACCAACCAACTCTACCCTCCCGCCCCCAAAAAATTTCTAATTACCTTGTTGTGGATTTGAATAAAGTCTCAAGTAAATTCAGTAAGCGGGCCTGCTGGCCTTTATCGACTGTCACGTATTTAAAAACTGCCTAAAATCCTGTTTGACTAGTTTAGATTTCCATTTATGAGTTCTCACATTTTCCTAATGTGTTCAGTTCCAGTAAGGTATTTTTTAACTCTGTTCACCATTTATTCAGACAGCAGTATTTGTTTCACAATTAATTTCATTATCATGCTAAAAGTGTGGCAGATATCTTTGTTTCCATTATATGTTTGTATATATTGCCTGTGACAATAAGCAAGTGATCTTTCTACAATTTTCCTTTAATCCCAAAGGGCCAAATTCTTTCTGTTTAATCTTTCTGTGACCCAATAGATTTCAGGGGAAATAAAATCAGAGGAGAATTTGTACTCTGCCATTTTTGTTGCATCAGCTTTATATAATCCTTTTTATTACTCCAGTAATTCCTAAAAAAGACAACCCTCCCCCTAAAACAAACATTCCTCCAAGCTCCCGAAACAACTTCACCCCAAAAAACCCCAAAAGCAGAATTCCCTTTAGAAAAGGAACTGAACATGTTTTGTAAAGTCTTCAGCATAAACTTTGCTCACTGCAGCTCCCTCCCCCGAATTTGATTATTCCAGGCTCTTCCTTCTTACTTTTTCAAACAGCATTATATAAGATAGATTATCAATAATCCAGCAATTTTATTCAACTCTACGATGCAAAAACGAAAATCTTTCATCTCTCACTTTTGTTGTGAAATGGGAAAATTGATTTGTTCTGGAGTTCTCTAGCTGCCTTTTGACCTGCTGTCCTTCAAGCAAACATTCAGTTATGACGACAGTAATATGTATTTTAGCCTATCCAGCAGTGATTTGCACATGTGCTTTCGCTACTTCAAATTTAATTTAAAAATGTAATACAACCCATAAGAAAATCAGCAAACACAACTTTGTTGTCCTGAAGTAATATCTTACAAAGCAGAATTAAAAAGTCACCGTTTTAAACAACATAAGTGCTTTCTCTTTTTCCTTCATGGGATAAATGATTCTTCAGCAAACACACAGTGGCTCTTTAATACATTACTTTTTCTAGGTTTTTTTTTTTTTTTTTAAATAGCAAATTATAACTATAAGCACTTACTGTTATGGCCTGAAATCTTTCCTTCAGCAGTTCAGCCTCTTCCATTCTAGAAATCAAAAACAGACAAGTAGTGAAGGAAAACAGAATGAAACCATAAGCAAAAAGCCTCCTGGCGGGGCTACAAAAAAAGCTGAGATGATTTGATCCAATTCCAGAGCAGATAGAAGGCAGAATTTTTGACTTATCAAGAGAGTCTCTGAGCAGATGAGCAGATCAGTGCAGACAGACACATGTAATGAGGGTGTGTAGAAGAGGCAGACGTGGAGAGTGCTGGCATGAGGTGACTGACAAGTTGGAACAGTGGAGCACAAGCCCTTTTCCTTCAGAAGCTGCCAACTCTTTGTTTCAATGTGCTCAGTTAGCATGCCATAGTCTCTTTAACTGTTAAATGCCCAAACCAGAATCTTTCAGGACAATGGTAGATGTATATTTTAATTACATTCCTATTCCCATTTCTTCCCCTCATGTATGTTTGTGGTGAAAAATAAATTATTTATGTTTATTAAATATTACTGTTTCTTAGAAGTCTGTTTCACCTGTATGGTTTAACCTGTTGTGATGTTAAAGCTGTAGATGCATAGGGTTTGTTGAAATGGCACTTTTAACTTAGTTTCCTGGATGAATTTTCTATGTTCGTAGCTGGAAGCATGTTTTGGAACTGCTAACATAAAGTAGGAATAAACGTGAAGCAATCTGCTCCGACATTAAGTGCAAGTGTTAATCTGTGCATATTACTGGTCAGCTACCCAGGACTCAGTGGAAGCTTTGTCTAAGCAAGGATTTCAGGATCATCATTTCAGCGTTACCAAGATGAGTCTAAAACACTAGTGCTGTGTTAGAGGAATCTAAAATGCGGTGTCTCTCACTAGATTTCCATTCAGCTGACTTGAATGTTTTTTTGCTGTGGACTTTTGCTGAAGACAGCATTATGCTTCTTAAGGGATGGCGTACATTTTGACCTTTCCAGTTACATGAGTGGGAGTCAGCCTTCTAAAATCAATCTAGGAAGCTTGCAAAACAAGTGGAACTACCGCTAGTAAAATCCAGTTGTGGAAGAAATCCTGGCATATAAACAAGATAAAGCTGAATTCAAACAACGTTGAGGTGTAATATGAATCTAGAATCCCTTTGTACCCTCAGCATCATGTAACTTAAGGCTCTATAAGGACACCTACATAAGAGTCAGTCAGCATGTCTTTTTTTTTTCTACTAATACATTGAGATGACTAAACTCAGCAGGATTTGGTAAGGGGCTTTACTTTACATGTCAACAGAGTGACCTGAATCTTTGTGGCAAATCAGGCTGATTACTAGTAAATTCTAAGATGCTATAGAATTCACTGCTTGATGGTGAGGTTTCATCCTCAGAATCTAATAAGAATCATTATTCAATTTCAATTTTTACCTTTCTACTATGTCATCACTAGCCCATGTACCCAAGCAGAATGTTCCCCTCCATACTGAGATTAAGAATGCATTAATTTGATTTGTTTGTACTGAGACCCTCCCTAAGATTTTGTTCAAACTTGGAAAGACCTCGTGTCAATTCTCTAGCTAAGAGTTCTCTTTTTTTTAAATATTAATATGTGTCTTGTTTGGTCAGCACCCAAAATTAAAGCTTTACCACAAGAAAGGCAAATGTGAAGTTCAAAGACAAATAGACCAAAGTATATCAAGAGCCAGATCTTTGGTCTTTCATAAGTTAGTATAGCTTTCCTTTAAAGCTATACTAACGTATACTAACTTTCCTTCCCTATTACATTTTGAAAAAAACCCCTAGTATTTCATCTTTGTATTCTGGACTCTGTAGAGTTCATCTTACGATTTAAGTGCTTATCTAAATCTCAGCATGTTTAGAAATTTACTTATCATTAAAAGCAGCAAATGATAACATTGTAAATAAGGAAGTATGTTTTGGGCCAGAATCTGTCCTCTGATATAAATGGGATTCCATTCTCAGTGGGTAGAGAAATGAGACCGGTAATTAAAGTTCGAGTTAGAATCATTAGGATTGATTTTTCCTTCCTTTGAATTTATATGATATAAAATATTTTCAAAACATTATACTTCATAATCATTTCAGCTTCGTAAAACGTTGTGAATGGACCATTACCCATTTACAGGCCAGAAGAGAATTTAACATGTCTTTTGCTAATTTAAGCCCCCAGATTTTGAAATAACTTGAAGACAATTCCTAGAATTTTACTTCCTCTTTTAAATGACCGTTATTATGGAAATGTTTAAAGTATACTTTAAATGTTTTGAATTATTTGAATCATTTGAATCCTCTTGCTAGGTAGAATTTGTTGTTCAGTCAATAGACTGTTTTCCAGTTATCTTAATCCTATTCTAAATGCGATTTACATGTAAGAGAAGAAATGGACCAGCTGTCATTTTGTCTGCCCTTAAGCCTGCTTCATCAGTAAGAGTGCAGTATCCAACATGTTATATGTTGTCAGATCAGTAAATCCAAACAGCTGTGCTTTCAGTCTGCAGGATTCTTGGAATAAGATTTTTCAGAATTTGCTTGCCAGAAATATATCCGGAGGAAACTATTTACCTACTCTGCAAGTTTAAGCAACAAGAAGTATTTTGGAAGAAAAATGTGTTAATCTGTATCTTCTGGAATTGGCAATTGTATATTTTTCCTTTGGTAGAACTGATACTCTGAGTTATGCAGAAAATGTTTGTTGTATTACGTGGTCTGTCGTGCAGATTGTATTCTTTTGGCTTCACGTCTTCGTTTGTTCACTTCCATTTTGCGCTGGATTCCTAGTGTAGGAGTCAGATTGCCTAATGAGAATCCAGAGCAAATGGTGAAAGAATGGCATTATGAAGTCATACAAAGAAGTGGATGGGAATTTATGAAAATGGAACATCCTGATTAAAAGCTTAGAAGTGGGCCCAGAGAAGAACATTTACAGCTGAAAATGCAGATTTTGTTGTCCATTTCTAGAGCAAACTCTGAATATTGATGTGGAGAGTTCTTGCCATGTCAGAACTGCCACAGCTGTCCCTGGCATAGTCTGCAACCAAAACCGTCCTCATTCTACACTTATTCATCAGACCATGATTTCCTTCAAAACAGATCAGTAACTTAAGTTAATACAAGTACAATGAAATATAGGTTATTATAGTATTAAACAGCTGCTTCTCAGAACAAATATTTGATTAAAGGTAAAAAGCCAGAAGCTCTCACATTGTAAAAAATAGGTTGAAAAAGTGGGTCTGCAGTGAATGGAGTTGATCAGATTGTTACCAGCTGAAAATATAGCCTATATTTTCTGATAAAGATGGCTACTGAGTTTATAGCTCACCATTTTGTACATCACAATTAAACTGATTATTTTGCTTGTTGACGGGCTGTCTTCTGTAGCTGTATTTGGAACAGAAAAGGGGCCTCTCACACTAGGTAAAGTGGATTTTGTATTCTTACAATGAAAAAAATGTACTGCCACTATGCATTTGTCTGTATGTAGCCTTGAATCTCTCACAGCAAAGAAATAGAGGGGAAAGAAAGTTTATTGAAGGTCCCTTAATGAAAATGTTTACCGCAGCCTCCTGCCAATTAAACCAAAGACCTGGGATCTGGGGTGCCTCAGCTGTTTGAGAAGTAGTCTCTTCAACAGCCAGAACCAAGATTTTGCATTTTAAAAGTGAAAAATAAGCTAACAAAAATTAAAATCAAAAATCTAAAAAATTTATTCCAGATGAAAGACATGTGAATAGACATCTAAAGTCTTTGGGTACTTGCTCACAAAAGTAATTTTTCAGGGAGATTTACTCACTGACTGTATGTTATTTCACAGCCTTCCCAAAAGAGATGAGGTTCAGTTGTTCTTACTCAAAGGTTAGTTTAATGTCTTCAAAGCTGAAGGCCGTTTCCACCATTAGTCTGCAAAGTATTTTCAGCTGGTTCAATCAATTGTGCTTTAAAGTTGCACAATAAGCAGCAAAAAGCTTTCATCTAGGATATGTATAGGTAAAGAACTCATCTGGGGTTCACCATGGTGCTACTTTGGTTGGCCAGTAAGTATAAAACAGACAAGACTTCTCTTAGTGATGGAAAACTCAGTCCTCAGTGCATGAAAACCCCTAAGTTCAGGGAACAGATGATAGTCCGAAGCAGCACCCATCACATTAAATATCATTTGATGTATCCATTAGGTCACAAATTCTGAGCTAAACCAGGAGGTGTTTCATCAAAAATATCTGTGTCAATACTGGTCTAAAATATGCAGAGAAAAAAAAGCTTTAAAGGAATGAGGAAAACCTAGAGACAAAAGAAGTTAAAACCCATCTGTGGAATGTAAATAATTATTGACGATTAGTAAATATATTAGGTTATCTTAATATATATCAGGTTTTCTTAATGAACACCTATACAGATTTAAATATTGCATCTGTGGATGTGCTTATTTTATGCATATTACAATTTTTAACCACTTCAAAAATATTATCAGGCTGGAAGATTGAAGATGTCCCATCTCTGTTACTGTAGCTAGCAGACTAGTTGTGTGTAGTGTGTTCTGTGGGAGACTGTCATTTGTCCCCTTGTTCATGTTCCTTTTGTGGCTCCTTCATCTAAAGGTGTGTAGCCTCTCTTAGTTTCTGTTGATCACTAAATCTTTAATCTAACAGCCATTTTAGGATGCGAGATTGCCTGTCCCTTTTCACATGATGAAAACTGAAGTTCTTTCTCTTACGTTTTACTCAGTCTGGAATATGTTAGCCTGTATGCTTAAAGGCATATCATACATTGAAAAAAATTATGCTGCATGTCCCTCCATCGTACTATACAATATATAAGATTGTAAAAGATTTTTTAGGGTCTTAGAGGAAGTTCATGACAAATTCTCTACCAGTTCTTAGGAGGGATTAAAATTTTGCCCTGAAGGCAAATTTTGGAGAAGTAAGACTTGAAAAATTTGTTCTCTATCAGGCAAGTCTTTTAACATACTGAATCTCTTGGGTCTTCTCACTAAAGCAAAAAAAAAAAAAAAATCTGAGTGTCTTCGTTTGTACAGTTTCATGAAGCCAAATTCT